CATAAACAAAGAGATTTGAGAGAGTCCAGAAAAAGCCATCTTGGAGCCTCTTAAATCCATAGTAAGACTGAGCACAAATAAAGGAAATTAAGAGCCATTGTTATACTCCCCAGGAGAAGATGATTGACAAAGACGAAACTAGGAGCAAAAGGGAAGAACAAGAATTAAAAGGTAATGCTACAAAACCCAGTATTATCATGGTTTTGATCTGTTTTTTGCTTAAGAATGGCTAAACACAATTCAAATGGATGTTTACAGAATACACAACAAAACCACTGACCATAACTTCAGATTCTCAAACTGTCTTTCATTGTCAAACACAGATGAAAAATTATTAAAAACCTTTCAGAGAGAAAAGTCAGACATGCTTTTTTTTTAACATAACGAACAGAAACTATATAGAATGATTGGCTGTCTATTTCTGACCTTACTGCGTTTGAATTTGGTTCAGTTCTTGAGATTAACTGAAAGTTGATTTCCAAAACCAACTGCAAATATCTGAAAAATATTCCTCAAGAACCGGTCTGCAAAACTGCAGGAGGCGGCAACATTTGACTCTCTGAACATCCAGCAAAAAGGATTCAGAGCTGACTGAACCCTGATGGGGCCCATGTCCGCGTTGCCCCTAAAATTGATGTAATAATGATGCAGAACCGAATGCATGTTTAAAAATGAAGAGCAGTTAATTTATTCGAAAAAAATTTGATTATTTTGCACAAATATTCTGATAGGGAGAAAAGTCTATCAAACAAAAGTTTTTCAAACTAAAATGTTTTTGTGTAAAAATGGACTAAATCATGTGGAAAAAGGAATTAAAAAAAACAAAACAACTGCCTATAGAGCAGACATACAACAGTAATAAATGCGAGACAGATACCATGAATACACATTGAAAGTTTTATTAAAAAAGAAGTTATAACAGTTTATTTCATACACAACTATTTATGAGATTATAAGCCTATTAATAGAGCATTTGTCTGTTTGACAAGCATGCCCACTTCACAATGGGAAAAAATAGAAAAAAAAGAAGGAAAAGGGGATGAGAAATAAGACCAAAAATTGCCTTTTTAAAAAAAACATACCCCCCGAAAAAACTGCTGAATTTTTAAATCCTCAAATGTCACACAATTGGAACCACAGACATCATTTGAAAGAAAAAAAGAACAAAAAAAAAAACTGCCATGTTTCACACTGTGCGTGTGCTTAGTGAATGCCCTGATAGCAACAGTCGGTCAGCAAAAGGGCAACAAATCCACACAAGCACGAGACAGAATGGGAGGTTTGAAGTGAGCCGGCGCCGACTCCAAACCAGAAGCATGCAACTGCCCACAGAGTTACAGTGACCACACGGAGGGGCGGGAGTCTTCAGGGGGCTGACGCTCACCTGTGCCCGTAGAAAACGGAGAATGGCCGGTGGACGTCTCGTCTATATGTGATTAACGATAGTCCAGACAGTTCGTTCAGCTCGAGCCCTTCATCCTGGTGTCCAGCGGGCTGTGCGGGGGAGGGTGTCCTCGTGTGGCTGTGCCTGTGGCCCTGTGCTTGGCTTTTTCTGCAAGTTGGCTGTCAGAATTATGAGGCCAGGTGAAATCCAGTTGTAAGAACTCAAACTGATCTTAAAGTGGACAAGGTGGAGGAGAGCCAAAAGGATTTTTTTTTTAAAAAAGAGAAAAAGAATGATAATCATCACAATTCCTTTAATTTGCATAATTTATAATATAATAAGCAGAATGGTCATTAACTAATTTGAGCAAATTTCTGTACTTCCTGACTTAAATGTAAACCAAATTGCGACAGGCATGTAGAAGCTAAACTGGAGCGTAAAAACAACGACAAAAACCAACAAGGGAGGCCACTTTTAAACTTAGAACACTTAAAATACCTTTCTTTTTTCCCCTAACCAGAGCAACACAAGGCCAAGGCTTAGAACTGTCAATTTATTGCTCAGTGGATGCACAAAACAAAACAAAAAAAGCAGAAAACAGGAGTACTTTTTCTTTAGCGTGGGGGATGAACACACAACTATGCCATCAGCTCCTGGTTGCACCTTGGACAGATTATAGTTTCAGAACTCAGGGACAATACTGCACAAACCTAAAGTGAAATGGGATCTCCAAACTGCTTGAAAAAAGGTTTTGTAAACAAAGAATTTATATGTACTATAGGTAACAACAGGGTCGCTGCACCACTGGGATTAAAAACAAAAAAAGATTCTTTCATGACACGCAAAGTAGTGCAGGTTGTGAGAATTTGTGAAGTTTGTAATATCAATAGAAAAAAAAAGTTCTCTGCAAAAGAATTTACTACCTAGCATCTTATAAGACCCAAATACTTCAATTGTTGATATAGTGGACATTGAAAATAAACAAAAGCAGATTCTATGGGCTCAAATGTGATGATATTTTATGAGCACAGACCAGTTGGATAAATCATGCCTTTATAGAATCCAACCCTATGAAAAGGGCTGAGCCACAGATTGATTTCTGTACAGTTAGATCCACCAGGCTCACTACAGATCAAGCATCATTCCAGTTTGAAATCTTTCACACTTATCTGTACAACTTTTGAAAGAGGAGGATAAGCAGGCATGCCTATGGGCTATCTTACACAACCACAAAACAGACTAGAAGTCAGATGAGTGCTGAATGCTTTATCATCATGAAGGTATACCAAACTATGGAACTATCTGAAATACAGCCATATAGCACATGTTTAGTTGAAGTCACCACCCAGCAAAACTAACTACCCTGACATGTCAAAAAACACAGCTCCACAAATGTTAGCATGATTTCCCACCTTATTAATACCTTCTAGGTGAAAATGTTAACTGCTATGCAAGAGACAAGTAAACTGTATTTCAAACCTGAGCCAGAAACGTCTAACAATCCTACATTAGCTCAAAAGGGAAAAAAAAGCCTAATGCCACACAGCCCTAGAGCAGAACCCCGGTTGTTCCACGGAGTGAAAATTCTGGAGGAAGAGAAGAAATAAAAGAAGGATATGGGTTAAAATAATGTGGTTCTCAATTGGTAGAAGTTATCTTTGACCTCCATGGCTTCTTAGACACACTTAGTGGAATCCTCTGATGATCATGCTCCTTTTGTGATGAGGCACAGAACAGAGATTAGATGGGGGGGGTGATGAGGTGACCTGCGTCTGGATCCACTAAACAGTCATGGAATAACTTTTTTACTGCAATCTATAAAGTGAATACATCTCAAGGTTTTCTAGGTAGTTTCACTGCCTTTTTCTCCTTGATGCAAGTCAGTGCTTTGGCTTCAACACTGATTTTTCACGAGGCTACAAAGTGGTGTATCGTCACTGGACAAGGTGAATGCTGCAGGCAAAAGGAGTGAAAGTGAATCCAAACATTTTGACGCTCCCCTTGGTAAACCATTTAAGAGTAGGAGAAATAAAAGCTAGGGAAAAACAAAAGAAAAACATGTGAAATCTGCAACTGTAATGTCTTTCAGTTTCCATCTGCTAGCCACACTGAATCAACCGTGAGCATCCCTGGAGGTTCTCATTTAGTTTTTTGGTTCAAATCCAAACGAGGGTTATCAAATCTAAGGCTACTAAGCTAAATGTCACTTGACTGGTTCTTGTTTTGATGGCTTGGGCGTGACCGTGTGCAGCCCAGGGCCTGGGCTACACACCACAGGTCCAACCAACACTGGAGCAGGCTCAAAGCCGCAGTGGAATGTCAGGAGGACCAACAACACTTGTCTGCACGTAGAGATAAAAGTACATCTCTTATCCAGTCTCATCCGCTTATAATCCAATGAATGGTTGCTTTCTTTTTGATGCTAGTTTCCTACAAACACCTGAAAATGTCACAAGCTCATATTGTTTCACTCGTAAGGCTGATGTAAATAAAAATAAACTAAACAGGGTGACAGGTGATTATCTACACACTGGCAACGTGCACAATGAGAACGTCTGGTTCTTCCCGTCAAAAACTTTTAATTCCACGCGGTCAAATAGTTTAAAACGAGCTCGATTTCTCAGTTCCAAAACTACCAAATGAGTCTGACCAATAACTTTACGACAGAGCCTTGTCTGTGTCACAAAACCCTGACAGTCGTGTAACAGCAACTTTAGCACCAAACTGAATGAGAATAAACCTATCTATCCATCCTATGTGTATACTAGGCTGAGCTGTGAGTGTGTATTGTACTGTAATGTACCTTAGGTGAGCGGTTATTGGTTTTAATCAAAACGGACTAACTTGCATAAAAACAACTTGCATGTTATGAAATGGTAACGCCACTACGCCCTGCCCGGAATACACAAGACAGACAAGTTGTGAAAATAAATACATAAATAAGACGATTCCTCTGGTTCCTTGTGGTGCTTGTAATGTAATCTGCAAAAAATCCACTAAACCAGAATGAATACCGCTGTCGTTTTTACAGCAGCGACCTGAACATACTGACAGCCTCCTCTGCAGGCCGGGGGGCCCAGGCTGGAAGATGGGTTGGTTTTTTCCTTAATTTACTCCCCCCCCCCCCCAATCAACACTATAAATGTCTGGTTTAAAAATACTGCTTTGACTAGAAAAAAAAAGAGACATGGGCATAAAGGCCTGAGCAGCTCTGTGGCAGAGCAACTCCCAAAATTGTTGGTCAAAGACATTTAGTACAGGAGAGAGGAAAAGCCATGATGACTCATGTCAAACTGCAAAGTGAAAGTCTGGGCAAGAAAAATGAGAAGCTCTTGGATTTTGTGGACATCAAACAAACGCAGGGATGGCAGGCAGAGAGTGTGGACGCTGTTGCTACGACATCTGTGTGGGAATAAACAGCTACAGAGCAGGAGGGGTGTCTGTCAAACACACCAAAGGCTATATATCCATAAAAATCCTTGTTTAGTAGTAGTAATAAAAAAAATCAACTTGTTTAAATATGAATATTATAAGTCTGCTTTCTCGCGGTTAGGAAATCAAATATAGTCTCTGTAGGGGTTAAAGTAGGGGTCAGGATGGGGGGGCCCTCCTATTACTACAACTCCATGTCCTGGGCCTCATCTTCTGAGAAATCAGACATGGAGCTTTCAGATGAAGAGTCACCTGCCCCGTCTTCCTGCTCCTTTAGAGCTTCCTCTGTTGCATATTTCTGAATGTATTCTGCAAAAGAAAACAGAACAAAGGATTTGTCGTACATTTCCTTTAAAGAATCTTCAATGAAATACGTTTCCAGTCGGGCAAACCTTTGATTTTCTGCTTGTACTCCTCAGGCCGATGAAGGTACATAGCAGCTGCATCTCCGTTCAGGGGATCAATGGGGTTTGGGTATGCCAGCAGCTGGGGCAGGAACGACTCAAAGATGTTGGTCAGATCTGGGCAAGAAGACAACACATTCCAAATTCACCAGCTGAGAGAATGAAGTAATCCCACACTGATGTGAGCCTGTTCAATCTGACAAACAAAGTTAGAGGCATGTCGTATCTTATGTGATACGCTGTCCACAACCGCTAAACAGGATAATCTTACAAAAAGATCTATGCTGCTACCTGCATTTCCCCCTCCCCCTCTCATTTCCACTGAAGATAAAATCTATTGCTTTGAATAATTATGCGCAATGCGCACTTGTTTGGTCTATTCTGTTCATTTATATAAACATCTGACAAATCCAGTAACATGCAAGAAAAGACTGTGTGCATAATATGCTTGGAATATTATTGTATGGTCATGTTACAATTAAGCAGCCATTTCTGCTGAGAAATAAGAGGGTACACATAACCAGCCAGGGGTAGGACAGCCAGACGACGCATCGTTACCACTGAGCATGTGAGCCTGTCTCACAGCTGAGACCGTAAATCATTCCTGTGTGATGTTTTTACTCTGACCTTGGTAGGTGAAACCATTACCTCGTTAGTGTTTACGTTTCCCCTCAGTAAGTAGATTAGGACCAACAGTCCACCACTGCCTGACGTGACTACACTTTCCAGCTCTTATCCTCTCATTGGACGGTGGCTACTCACCGTAAAGAGCTGTCCACGTCTGGTTGATGACATCTAAACACACTGTCCCTGACCTGGGAATAGAAGAATACAGTTAGCTGGCCGAAGCCCAGACTCTCATAAAGCACAGTTTGAACTGAATTTGTCAACAGACACAAAAAAGTTCAATCAATTTTATTAGAATTTTTTTTATTTTGATTAAGGCATGATGCCTAGACCTATTTCCTGTTGGAATAAATTGTGTGCTTGCAGTCATTTAATGTTTTGTATTAATTAATAATAACTTTCAATCAGATGTAAACCGAAAATCACAATTCGATTTGGAAATCATTGGCCACCTGAACATGTGGCAATTCCCACCTTCCACATGCCAAATGGTCAATACAAAAACAGATAACCTGGAAGCATATCAACATGCATCTCTAATTCAAAGAGCTTCAATGCACAGTCTTTATTTAAGAGCTAACAACCAATAATAATAATAATGATCACAGTCAAATAAGGCAGTTATAGTCTATGGGTGAATGACATCTTTTAAAAACATTAATACTGTAAAAAATAGATGACTGAAATCAAACTAAACTTACGCTTCATCAATGTTGGGATGAAAAATCTTGTTCATGAATCCTGGGAAAGCAAAGTAAAAATGAGCATAGTGTTCATGAAAAGCAAAATAAACCACAAAACTAAACAAAAAAAAGAAAGAAAAAAAGAGAAGGAAAAAACAAACTGAAGGAAAAGAAAAACACTTGAAGACAGGACTCCTACCTATTGATGGCGATTTGAAAGGGTATTTATCAGGAAGATCTACTCGTACTTTCCACACACCTCCCTCATACGGCGCTGCACACAGGGAGCGGACATGACATGTTAAAAGAAACTGCAGAGCACGGGGGATTGACATTTATGCCACGGGACATCATGTCTCATCCTTAATGCACTCCAGTGGATTTAAAGACTGCAGTTACATCAATTTTCTCCCCTCCACTTGAAGCTCGCACCCCGCTTCTCTGCCACTTCACGTGGAGAAGCATTTCCACCCCAGATCACTCTTCATCTTTAGAATCATCTCTAATAATTTACTGACATCAAAGAGGAAGAGACTGAGGCTCTGAGGGAGAGTGCGGCTCTCCCAGAATAGCCGTGTGTAACAGGAGCCACATGTTCTGAAAGTGAGCAGCACAGATGACTGAAACACGAATGGAAGCGAGCGACTTTAATCTGGAGGCATCATGAAAACATTCAGACGCTCATTTCCTTCTCTGATGATTGTCAGTGGGTTTAGTGTTAAAAAGGCTGAACATGAGAGAGATTTCCTGCTGATGAGGCTCCGTTTTAAGCTTTATGGCCTCAGACCTGCTCTCAGTCCTTTTTTCCCTCTTCCTCTGCTTTGAGGAAGCTCCCTTTTTCAAACAACAGTATGACTAAGAGCAACAGTCATCATCACATCGTGTTTGGGTCATCTAAAATAATATTCATCACAGCAATGCAGAAGTAAAAGAATCTGAGTCCAATCAGAGAAGAAATACTCACTTCCTTGTGGTCCGAAAAACTTCACTACAAATTCATTGAGTCCGCTGAGGATGGTGACCTCATGTTTGCTTTCGATGCTGAAAAGCTGTTAAGAAAAACGGCTTCATGACTGCAGACCAACAAACACAAATCTAATTATACTTAATTTCTTTAGGAAAATATTGAGTTACTGATAATCAGGCTTCTAGATAAAATGCCGATCACCCACGGTTGCTCTCCGTGTACTATCACATGCTTTGCTGCAAGGAGGAAAAGAAAAAACAAACGCACCCAGTCTGACCCTTTCTCTGCTTAGCATCCCATCTGTTTATCCCCAATGTTTTGAAGAAAACCTAAAGCAAAAGTCCTAAATATAGGAAACGTCTCAGTGAAATACAGCTCTTAAGGCTGTTTCCAGTCTCTTCTAAACAACTTTGAACAATAGAAAAGTTCAATAAGTAACCTAATATGGATTTGCATTAGATTCCTCAGCTGAACCAACACAGCTCCAATAATGCAAATAACCACTTCATAAAGCTAATCTAAAACAGAAGCAACAATATGCTTATCATATTATCTATAGGCACGTTTATCAAGCAACCTCTATAAGTTTCAGCTGTGGTCGAATATTCAGCAGTTTTATGAATGCTGTTCATTTCATCTGTTAAATCCAGCCCATTGTTAATCCAATTGTTCACATGTTTGGTGCTCTGTGTATTTCATCAAGAGACAGACAGTCAGTTTTGACTTGTTTTGTTGTCTAGGAGACAATGTGGAGCAAAAAAAAAGAAAAAAAGAAGAGGAACAGGAGTACAGTCATGTATGCGTTCTGTTATACAGGACAGTAGCCAGCCGGTGAGGGAGAACTGGTCAATAGTCTAACACAGACCAGACTACAGGTGAGGTGAAGAAGAAGCTTAGAGAGGTATAGTCTGGGCCTTTATCTGAAGCCTGACAACAGGAAATGTTTGGAGAAAAATGGGATAGAGTGAGTTCACTTTGCAAGGCACCCAAGATAACACTCCATCAATCTAAGACAGCCACCAAGCAACCCTACTATTTACAGAGCACCTAATATCCATTTTTAGACCAGTGTGGTTTTCATTGACTTCCCAAGCTACAAAACAACAGCAGAAACTGCAGCACGAGTTGCTAAATGCTTTCACTTCGCCCACTCCTTTGTGTCTGGGGTGAGAAGAGTCCTCAAACTAACAATTTTAACCTCCATGTTCTGATTCCGATTCTGTTTAACGGCCCAAACGAGTGGCCGTTTCTTTCAGACTCAGTTGCCTAAGGACCCAAGAAGTCATTCCGCCCAACAGGTTCCCGTCAGAAAGAATCTCCTCACGTTGCAAAAAGGAATTCAGCAGGTCTGTTAGAAGAAAATGAAGCTCCCGGTAGATCTAGTGAGCTGCTACGCGGAGTGGGGGATGGAAACAGAGAGCGGCTGACAGCCAGTCATGAAGCCTGAGATACGAGGATCCTGAAAGACTGCACAGGAAGAGCATGCAGAATGCACGACTTTGTGCTTTAAACTGACTTTCCCCTTAATAACGTACTGCTGAGTTTCATAACACTGAACTTACATTTCTGAAATCTCGATATGTGAACATCTCGCTGAGGAGTGTCAAACACTTCAGGACTCCTAAAGGGAAACAACTGTTTTTAAAAATAAAAAAAGGTTTTGCAATTTCATGTCCTCTATTATTAGCACAATGGCTATCTGTCCAACCCCCCACCTTGGATTAGTATAGATAAGTCATAATCTGTTGACAGCACTGGGTCAGTATCCTTTTACACGCACAACATATACACATAATCTGACCCATGGGCCAAATAAATCCCAAAGAACAGACCCACATCTCAGAGAGACCCAGACTGGAACTTAATGAGATCACAAAACTTTGAAAAGATTGTTTAAACTGAGAAAAGGTCTAAAAGAACTCATTTTTGACTACTAATTATGCTCCAAATTTACTACAGGACTAAGGTTAATACCATGCTGATTTTCTTTTATTTTAAACTTCTGGAGCATGTTATATGCCAAAGTGTAAAAATATGCAGTAAATAGCATTTACAGTTGTGGTCTAGACATGTCTTGTTTTCCTTCTGGTCCAGTCAGGCCTCTATCCCAATGTGACCCAGGATCAAAATATCCCATCCTGACCGACCTCTTTCCAACTGTGGAAAACAAACACGATGGAGAATAATAAACTACTCCGTGTCAAACAATACTGAGTCAAATACACCCAACATTTCCCTCTTAGAGATGGCGTTTGTTGATCTGGAGAAAGAAAAGCACGGTGGAGTTTCAGAGCCCTTTCCTGACTTTCTTGGCTTTATTTATGAGAAACAGGAGACGTGGAAAGCCCCTCACTTTCTCCTTCACACCAAAATGACGGGACCAGATAACACGATTCAAAATTAATTTATCCTAAGTGGTTTTATTCTTAATCTCTGAAAAATGATCAAAAAGCGCCGACTCCATTGCAGATAGGATCAGATCAAAAGAACTAAGAGAAAAAAATCACTTCAAACTGACCACCTGCTGATACCTCAAGCTTTGAGTAATCCTGTTAAGACACGGCGTTACAGAATAACAGAGGGCACAACATGAGGCATTTCCGTTTATCAGCGTCACCGGCCAGTGAGGGCAAATGTTTACAAAAGAAAAAAAGAAAAGGGTGAAGCTGAGAAGGCTGCATTTGAAGCACTAATATCCCAAAACACCCAGAAGCCAGCTGGGAAGTCAGAGATCAAAAGATGAAGGCCAGCCAACAGAACAGAGGGCCGAAACGGGGGACAAAAGAGCATGAGAAGATGATCAAGAGAGACGTGTTGAGAAGTAAAAAAAATGCTCTGAATCTGGACTGGAAAGAGATTTTTGTTCAGAATAGTAAAAAAAAGAAAAAAAACCTGACAACTTACAAGTGCAGTAAAAGAATCAAGCCGTTTATCCTATAACTTTACAAAGTTTGATTGCCAATTGCTCATTGGAATTTTTTTTTTTTTTTTTAAAGGAAGAACCACCCAACAGAGACGACACATTGGTGTGTCAAGCTGAGGAACGTCTGTTTCGCTTTGCCGACCTCGCCTGCCAACTGTAGCAAGAATATATGAAAGGCCTTGCAGATGAAAGGCAGGAAATATAGCATCTGTCCTCAGGGTGTAAGCCACTGGTAGGCTTCCTCCACCAAAAGCAGAAGTGCACAAGCCTATATTCACCAATCAAAGCTAAAAAGGTGATCCCTTTTCTACAATTATGAAGATCTTGCAAAAGGAAAAGAGCTTGGTAATGTAGAGCTGAATAACAATGAAAAAACAGACATCAAAAGTAAACATAACAGCAATAATTAGGCTATTCTTTTGCTCAATGTGGACTCAGAGAGTTAAAACCTAATGCAGGAGGAAAATTAATTATGCATGTGGTGAGACTGAGCTAATGTGAGTTTACATGCTTGAAATCCTTCTAAAGTCCAAGGCTGTGTTTAAACGTGGCTGTTTGTGCGTTCAACTTTGTATGCATCTGTGTGCAGCGTGGAGCGGGATTACCGCCTGACCCCCACTACACACGGCTGCCTGCAAACAGAGGCCGTCAGTGTAGCACAGCAACCGTCCGCCACAGCAGGCAGGGCCAGCTACAGGCCGGGCGCCGCTGTGCCAGTGTGATTTAATCAGCTCAGCAACAAACAAACACCGTTCCCCCTGCAATCACCAGCACAACACCACTGACCCACTCGGATTTTCTGTCGCTCTCACACGGGGCTTAGAACTTTTCAACAAGTGGGTTAGTTTGGCTCAGGGAACTCATAATGCAGAGGCAGAACCCGGCCATTTCAGCCCACAAAGAAACTAAATACACCCAGAGCATGCTCCGCTGTACTTTTAATAAATCATTTTTCTCTTCCTGGAATTCCTCTGGCCGCAGTCATGAAGCTTGAGGTAAGTACTAAAATCCTGACATGATCTGAAACTCATTTTGAGGTGAGCCTAAACTAACAGCTCACACAGGTCTGAGGAGGAGGGAGTGGGGCCGGAGTTACTGCACTACTTTACTACTCTACAAGAGAAACAATAAATGAATGAGGTTGGCCTGTTGCTTCTAACTTATTGCCCAATTTGTAGCATTCTCAACAACCCCAAACTCTTGAAAGTCAACAGGCTGAACGTTCTGCTCATATTTTGCTTCACAACATAGAAAAGCAGCTCAAGCTCAATATGGCTGCTGAATCTAAACTCACTGTCCTATTAACATCTCAACTGTGGTGTTATAGAGCAAAACGGGGCTAAAGCCGTCTGCTGTCTGAGCGTCCAGCTCATTCTGACACATTCAGCGTCTGCATACTGATGGAGACCTGCGTGTGCGGGCTGCAGCAGGTTTTACATATCAATGGACTCACGGCTCCAGCAGCCCAACTCACTCAAATCCACATGTGAATAAAAGTCTGGAGCTTTAAAGAGCTGCAGTTGATTGAACATGGAAGGAGATTTAGAACTTCTGAAAGTAATTTTAAGAAAAAACAGCAGAGGTATCTAACATGAATGATACTAAAGAGCCTTTAAACATGTAGTCTGATACTTAAAAGGATCATAAGTGTTGATAAGAACATGTTCTCAGAATCTGATTCACTGATTCAACAACATAAAAAGGGACTAAGCTAATTATTCAGAAACATTCCAAAAATCCAGAAAAAGAGCCAGCCCAGTACTCAGACGTTAACCCCAAATTTCTCTTAGCAATGCAGATTTGCTTTCAATTAGATGAAAGCCTCCATATATTGCAGGCTGCCTCCCAGGGCGAGAGCTGAAGCAGCACAGAACTGAACAGGCCAAGTTCTTTGTCTTCGCTGGTGAGAGATGAGAGCCCACCCACCGCAATCAAATGTGAATCCTTCAGCTGCTCCTCCTCTCAGCCCTTCACTAAATCAACAGTCTATTTACAGCTACAGAACAAGAAGCATGCGCGTGAGCGTTCACGCGCGCACACACAACTGATCTGATCATTAATGAACACCAAACTAAGCCAGGACAGAAGACACAATGGACTCAATCTGAGGGAAGAGCCTAATGAGGACACCTAACAGACAAGATCTGCAGTCTGTTATATAAACAAAGGAAAGAAGGTACAAAAAAAAAAAAACGTTTAAAAGAACTGCAAACCATAACTTCTATGAGCGGAAACATGGCTAATTTTATCAACTTGTAGCAGAAAAGAAATGCACAGCGACAGATTAGCAGATGCGGTTGATTAGAGGGTGGGGACGGAGTGAGCTGCTCCTCCGATATGACACACCTAGCGTGCATTAGCAAACACTGCACATCAATTCCTTTACACAGCAATATTTACCCAAAAAAAAAAAAAGACAAAAAGAAATCAGCATTGAAAGCCTGCAGCACCTGATGCTCATCTCTTTGATTTAAATTGCATAAGTTAGTTGGCAAGGAAGACTGTGCCCCCCCCCTCGTCAGAAAAAAGAAGAAAAAAAAAGATCTGAAACAATGAGAGGAACTTCAGTCCATCTGTTTTTTGCGGGAGCTCAGCCCTGCTTCACTCTGAGCACACTGGGATGAAGGCTGAGGGTCTCAGTGCTCTGACTCTTATATGCCTTGCTCCAGGGCCTCTCCAGGGCCTCTAAAATAGGACTGTCAATCTGAGAGGGTGGATGGGGGGGGGGCTTATCGACTACCCCGAAAATGAAAGGGCCAAACATCAAGACACAGAAGAGATTTCCAAAAAGCCGTTTCTTACTTTTTCCTGCTGTATAAAAACATGCTGAGTGAAAATATTTGTAGTCAACAGTTAAACTTGTGTTTAAAGACATATAATCATCAATATGAACATTACCCAAATCAGGCTGACTATCAGCTTCTCCATTCAGATGAAACATTAACCTTGAGCCATATGAGCTACAAATGATAAGCAAGCCTCAGGGTTAAACGTGTACTCGGGGCCTGAACACATGGAGGAGAGGTAAACACATGGAACTTTCACAGCTAAATGTCAAACATCCCATTGGAACTCCTAACTTTTGTTTCATTGTACAACTCTAGAGTTATCACACTGACAATAACAAAGGCTGTTTTTGTGGACTTCATCACCAGACCAGAGTTTCCCCCGTTTGACTCATCAGGCTTATACTCATCTCTCCAATCTCACAGTCAGGAAAAGGGCAGAAAACTGCGGGCTCCTAGTGGCGTTGCGAGCAGATTGGCTGCCCATGACTGTGTGACATGTTCTGACACAGCAGCGGGTGGTGGAGGTCACGGGGGGCTCCTGTAAGCGCCAAACACAAAAGACTCCACTGCTGATGCTGTCCGGATGTCATGCTACAGGGGCACAATGAGGCCGAAGCGTTAAGCGGAGAGCAGATAAAGCTCAGGATTGGTATTCGACTTAGGGAGGGCGGGGGAAAAGCCACAAAAAGGGTAGTGAGGAGGTTAACCCATCATCTATGAAACCGCCCCATCATTCTAGACAACTGAACACATAAGGCTAAGTGTTGCCTTGATAGAAATTTCAATAATAAATTAATAAAAAAATTAGATAAAATCTGGAGAAAAAGTCATGGTGAAAAGTAAAAGAATATGTAAAATCATGATAGTTGTGTTACAGTGTAATAGTTCTGTCATTATTAGCATTCATATGATCAATGCTTGGACAGATTAAGCATGCAATACCCCTCCAGGCAACTCCCAACAGTCCTGAATATAAATGACCAGAGGCCATGCTTCATGGGACTCTTATCCAATCATTGTCAAACCTTCCAGCAGAAACCACCGGGATGAAACAAACAGCTGAGAAGCCATTTCAGTTACAATGAGAGTCCCGGCCCAACCTCGGAGACAATGAGATTTCACAAATAAACATGTACACACCTTATCTCTTGGTGCCCATGTTATTTTAAAGAAACACTCCAGGAACACAGGGACACCCCCCTGACTAGAGAAGTCTTACAATGACAGCTAAAACTCAGCTAAAACACTTCCATGCCTTCCCATTCAGGATTAGTGCTTAGTAACAGCCTTATTGAAGCTTCTGTGAAAAAGAAGACCTCCTCTAAACATGTAAACTTTGTAAAGACACAAAAACAGTAAAAGCCTATTTGTCTAAAGTGGTATTCAGATTTATCAATAGGATTTTTTCTCTCCTATTTTCTGCATATGAACTCAAGAGCCAGTCAGCACAAAAGCTTGTGTAGTCACAATAGGCTCAGTGATTTATTCACCTGTGCTCAAACTCTCACAGTGTGATGCTTGAAAGTGTCTGTAAAGTGAGTAGACCCGTGATGAATATATGCAAATAACTATTCAAGCTCCTACACGATGTGTGCAGTCAACCACGCACGACAAGCTGAAAGGGAAGTTCTTACTTCAGGAGCCACGTCCTAAAGAGGTCGAAAAACATGGCAGGACAACAAATGGCCAAAAGTTAAGCAGATTCAATAATAATAGCTTGACAGTAAAGAATTAAGTCTGGCCATGTGTTGTCATGGCTACGTGTTTTTAAAGAAAATGGGAAGGCGACAGAATATAACATACCCAATAGAATATACCCAAAGACTGGGCTAAAGGTTAGATGAAGTATGTTGGCTGGTTTAAGATCAGGCTTAAAGACTAGTGATGCCTCGTGTTGAGGTCACTTTATCACTCATTTGTACAAATTCCCTCATGGCCTCCGCTCCAGATTCTCAACTCTCCGGTGGCCCGCAGCAAACTAAAACGTGAGGCCTCTCTAAAAGGTGGTGTGACTTTCAGGTTTTGGTTACAGCTGGAGGACTGATGGCCAGGGACAACGTTTATCTCTGAAAGCCCAAATGGACGAGTGGGCTGGGAGTGGGGACTACCTCACATCGGCTGCAAAATAAACAGAAAAGATAAATACTTTAAACAGCCTATTCAGCAGTGAGTTTGTGTTCTATGAAACCCAACACTGCAGAGCCACATTTAAAACACAAATAGCTGTCTTCTTTAACACTTGGTGGCCAGTACTTCTGAATGGCATGTTAAAACACACACTTCATTGTGCAGAAGTGAGCAGGTGGCATACAGTAAATCTGCTCTCGCCTGTCAGGCAAGGAGCTAAAGATTGAAAGTGGGTGTATTACTACAAGGCTTTGTGAGGGTTTTTGTGTGTGCTGCAATCCTGAAACACTTGTTTTGTTTCACTACTGTTCCACAGCTGTCATAGCCAGCTTCGAGTGGGGGAAGCATAAACTTGCTCAAACAAGCACAGTTTCTTCCTCGCAAACGTAATGAAATCGCTCGTGGCAGTGAGCCAACATAACAACAGCAACGGAGTTTGAGACAAAATGTGCAGATATTAAAATGAACTGGGAAGTGATACCGTACTCTAGTAGGACAGGACACATTATGAAGAAGCAGAATAAAATATGAGGCAAATTAAACTGAAAACACAATATTTTTTCAATTAATATCAAATTTGACCAAATAGTATTCCTAATTTTTTACCTCAACAAGTCTGTTTCAACTATTGAGGCAACTTCCTCTTATTTTTGGTTTAATTTGACCAGCCCCCTGCTAATCCCACATTTGACTAAGCTTTGCTGCCATCCCATCAGCTGTTCTAAGTCCCACCCTCTTGCAGTTTCTGGCTAGTAACAGACTACCCAATGATTAAGCTGGTTTCCACTGTGTTGGAATTAAAACAAACCTACTTCTCCATGCTGTCCTTCTAGAGCATTTAACCATTGGAAATTTTCTGTCCACAGTCCAGTTTTACAACTCTCTCTATGAGGCCAAAGTGAGACAAACAAGCCCCCCCCCAGTAACAATGACTTGAAAAACAGAACACACTAGATGCTGCTGAGCAGTTCAAGCAGTTCACTTTAAAAATGAATGCAGCCAAAGGATCATCCAAACTTCCAGATTCAGTATGGTCAAAGTAAAAATGACCATCAGTGTTAAAGCATACAAGTTGGCCTTATCTAGTATTTGCCAGCTGACACTGAAGTACAGTGAGAAACACAGATCAGGTGGCCATTTTGATGTTGAAATTAACCCAACAGAGTACCAAGCTAGCTCAGCACCGTTTCAAAGGAATATTTCTAGTGGCAGATACAAAAAGACAATGACAGAAAGCTCAGATTGGTGACAAAGCAACGCTGTGAGGACTAGAATGTCGTCCAAGCTGCTCCAACGCCAACGTTTTAGGAGAGGAACAAAAGGAAGCAGCTTTTTCAGTTAGCCTGACGTTATGTAAACAAGCTCTTGTGTAAATGTGTGAGGGGGCAGTTTGAGTTAACTCTCCCCAAAAACAGCAAGGTGGACAAAGAAAGCAAACTGCCACAAGGTGATTCTTTTACAGTCTACATCTACCGGTGGTGCAACAAGATGAAATACGTTGCTATAAAAAGGAGAACAACGTCAGCGTCTACTCGGATGTTGCTGTTTTCAAATATAGACAACAAACAAAAACAGCTAACGTTTGCTACATATGGTGCAGGAAAAATGCTGAAGGGAACTGTGAACCATTTGACTGGCTGATACAGTTGTCCCGATAAGCGACAGAAGGTTCGCAAGACAGAAATAGCTAACACTTGGCTTTGCTAGCAAAAAATGTTGTTTACACAAAACAGCAGTAATTCACTGTGAACGCGCTCATAAATTCAGGTTACAAAGACTCACATGCAGCATCATTAAATTACTCATACAGTGTTTCGACCTACACCGGGACAAATCTCACAAAACAGTGTCATGATAGACTGTTGTTTACGTTCAGGAAGGATACAGTTTCACCACATCGGTATCCATTCGCCTTTTACCCGGACTTGGAGACGACATTTTTGCTATTTCCACCGGAGAACACCAGCAAGTAAGCCGAAAGCCAACCCCCCGAAACGCTAGACAGTCTAGCAAACGGTACTATCCAAAAGTTAACATTGGCTTTCAGATGTGGTCACAGCTGAGCGTCTTCGCAGTAGAATATGTGACTGTCCTTATGAGTGGCTGAGCTAAACGTTAGATCTCTCCTGTTCACTGCCTCTCTGCGTTTTCATCATGGTTGTGACAAGCAAGGATCCCTCCGCGAATTACGACATATATGTGCGCCCAGACGTCACCATTAATGGCCATGTTTGTAGTTTCAATTAAAGCTCTCACCTTTTAAACCCGTTCATTAGTCGACTAAATGAAACATGTTAAGACTTTATACGTTACTACGTCTCGTGTGAAATGAAGTCCCAGGGAGTCAAGGAGTCTTGGTTTATGAATTTCTACACAAAAAGTGACGATGATTGTTAACTTAATGCTTTGTCTGTTGTTGTGTGTCATGGCTGTGTTCTCAGGAACGATTTTCTATTTCTTTTAAATATACATTTCATGCTTGGGGTTTAAAAATACAATTGCAATGACACAGTTTATCAAAGCAAATTTCTTTGATGTGTAAAAATAAAGAAGAAGACAAGTGAAATAACACTTTATCAAACCATTTTGGGAAGGTTTATTAAGATAAAAACACATGCAAGATAGTGAAAACTACAATATCGACGGCACGCCAAAGAAAGGCAAGTCTAAAACAAGTTGAAACTTGTCCATTGTTCGATCAGCCTGCAACCATAATGACAGATGACAAAATAATTTCACATAAATCTTACACTTAAGGAAAATATTAAGAAGGTTCTCACAGTTTTTCTAATCTGAAGTTTACCCCTCTTGGTTATGACTCAATACACAGCGATAGTAAACATTGTATTTCCAGTGTAGAGCCATTTGGCCCTTTCTAACAATCAGAGATCCCTCGTCTCCCTTTTCCACAAAAACACAGACCATCACGGCATCATTAACGAAAGCTGTCGTGGCACATTCCTCTCTGGTATTCTAATTATTTACAGAGAAGAGTTCCATCACCTGTTGACTGCGTGTGCTTTCTCATGACGCAAGGTGTCCGTAGGCTTCAGCAGCTGCAAATCCCAATTTCAAAGTAACAGGGTACAAACGTTTTAAAAGCCCACAGGGGCTCTTCACATTTGACTGCTTACTGACAAGACACTCAAATTTCCTTAAGAAATACTTTGACTGTAAACACAACTTCGAGGGATAGCATGTATTAATAAGATATGACATTCTTGATACAAGTAAGATGGATTCCGTACCAAAAATGTGAGGTCAGTTCACAGTTCAGTGCAACAATGCCATTTGTCACTAAACAGTCTGCTGAGATGGAGAAGAAGATACCTGCCACTGACGGAATATAGCAAACACCCTTTTAGACTTGTCACGAGGGCCCTATGAAAAGAGAAATTATGAAGACAGATTAATACTTTATGATTCTTCAGGACAGGTGAAGCTCAGAACTGGTGACTTGCCTGTGCTGGACTGCTTCCCTGTGCATTGGAGATCTTTTTTGTGGGCATGAGGAGGTCAAGAGCAGCTTTCCAGCCTTGCTGATTAAGCGTTGTGCTTCCATCTGAAAAGGAGATAGTCCCTGGATCTTCATTCTCCTTGCCCACAGAGATCCAAGGACACCAATCCCTGTGCTGGGCAAGAGGGTCAAATGCATTCTTGTGCAGAGGGCCATCCTGAATTAGGAAAGAAGAAACTGTTTCAGAAACAATCTAGAAACACGTAACATTCAAACGTTCAACACGCTTTCAAACTTAACCAGCTTCAGAATCTATGTCATAAGGCTTTGTCTATAAAAGAACAAAGTCCAAATCAGATTAACTGAGTATTTGAATCAGGAAGGAGAGGAAAACAACAAGGTGACTTTAGGAAGCATGTTTGTTCTTACAGGCCCACTGAAGGGTGACAGGCACAAGCGTTTGGGTGGGTGGAGGCTGGCAGTGCCCTCTGATCCAGGGCTGTCTCCCATGGCTCGACTTCGAGTGGCAGGTCTTTTACCCCGAGCCAAGGGACTTGAGAGCTCTTCGCTGGGGCTGGGTGAGTCTCTGCTTCGAGCGCGCAAGGCCACAGGAGAAGAGGTTCCCTCTGCCTGTAGTGTGGACCAAAACACACAGAAGAAGTGGTTTGAAAAATATAATAAAAATAATGATGTGCAGAGCTATTTCTTTGCATGGTACACTCCAACGTGTTCAGTTATTTATGTGAAACCGCTTTTTCCAGAACATGTTTATTGGAGGTGATGTCGATCACCCCCTTAAGATGCTGTCCAACTCCTGCTGTGCTATAAGCCTAGGGAAGACTGCATGCAGAAACAATACACATGTACACGGATAAGTTGTTTTTCCTGTTTCTGCGCCATCTCACCTTCATCTGCACTGCTGTCATATTCAGGTAATCCCACCCACATACTGAAGATGAAGGGCAAGAGCCCCTATGAGTACAACTGTGGGGAGTTCACCCGGAGCGTGCAAATAGCAACACAAAAAAAAGACTTACCTGTTCAGAGCGGTTAGAGTCCTGGCTCCTCAACTTCATGCGACAGGGAGTTGTAGGAGGAGTAGGTGAGGCTGATGTGGAATGGTCCCCCTGGCCATCACCGGCAGAGGCCGATACTGGTGCTGCCACTGGGGCAGCGGGTCCTGTGGTACTGGGGGAGGTCTCTGCATCTCCTGCAGCCATTTCCATTTGGTGGAAGTTCCACAAGCCCACCTTTCGCATACAGTAGGAGCAGGTGAGGATAGGGAGATTCATGGCATGAAGAGATGGGCTAGCATGGAAAGAGAAGGATTTGGGCTTGTTTTTTGTTTCATGTTCCAGAAAGGTTTCTTGTATTTTTCAAACACATTTCTGTGTAGTAAGAAAGCTTCATCTCACCTTGCTGACCAGCCACAGAGAGAAACAATACATGCAGCCACCTGAACAGCCAAGGATTCAGAGCACGGAGTCACTCCCTTTTTCTTCAGTTCTTCCTCAATCAGCTGGAGTATAACACTGATAACATCTTCTGTCAAAGACTAAAAGAAAACATCGGAATTAGTCCCATCCAAAGACAGAGTTCAAATCTTCCTGCCATAACTGACATTTTCCATAGTATCTGTTACATTTTGTTCCCAACCCATTAAACTATTTCAAATGGCACTGGTATGAAAATCTAAAATGATTTACCATGGATTTCAGTTCCTCTGGCCTCAAAGCTGGCAGCTGCTGTGAGAGAAGACAGACACTCTGGAAGCGCTCCAAAAAAGTAGAAAGAAGTGTTGATGGTTCACAGGCTGGAACCACCCAGAACCTATCTGAAAAGAAAAATCAACTTTCATAATTAGTCTCTTTAAAAAACCACCACTGTTTTATTGTGGATGTATTTTATTTATGTTGTATGGATCGTTTGGAAAATAGCTGTGCCTACCTGGGCATGGAAAATAAGGCCATGGACAAAACTTCTCATGCTGCGTCTTAAGCTGCTTTGATATTTCTGCAATGCGGGTTTCATCTATTTACAGGGAGAGAACTGCATGAACTGCTTTATTTTCGACGGGCTTGCAACATCAGCCATACCTTGCCAAACACACATGGTGTCCCAGTTCTCACACAGTCTGTCTTATTGCTTAAAGTTTCACTTACATTTTTCATAGTCTAAAGTTGGTTGTAGTGATGCGCACAGAAAGGCCTGGCAGCTGGTGCACTTGAGCATGTCGCAGCCGACATTAATCCAACCATATCTGGCACACGTCAGGGGGGACAATGTGCGGGGTTTGCCTGCCCATTTCAAACAGTACCACGCTAAGGAAAACGACACATTGACATAGAAATCCCTCTCTCACTAGTTATTTAAGCATTCACAGAATAAGCGATATTCCAAATATTGACTGAAATTATAAATATTTATGTGGTATATTAAAGTTATATAGAAAATAGCTATCTGATCCCAGATTAAACAAGAAAAGGATATTGAATATGATTCCACTCTGGAGAAAAAGGCATCTTTGTTCGTTGCCTCACAAGGAGCTTGAATGTTGCTTTTTAAAACATTTACGTCTGCTTGTCCACTGAAATCAAAGTAAAGGGAAAACAGATCTTTACTCCCTGCGTATTTGGCTGGTGAGATCTAAAAGTGGCAAACGGTCAGCCTCTCCAAAGGAAACGGCACATGGTGTTCCGTCAACGGAAAAAGTCGCTGCTTCCCTGCCATTTTCATCAGTACCACCCCCCTGATGGACAGGAAAGTTGTATACCACCCGTGCACAGATACGTCTGCTCGGCGTTACACACACAACGTGTCCGAAAACACACACATGCTCGGCCGTCCTGCTGCTCAGAGCTGCCGCCCGTTTGCATCGTTTAGATCTCTCAAGTGAGATAATTCCTGCCTCAAGAGCAAAGTTATCACTGTTTTCCTATACGTCCATGGGGATGACAGGTGTACATCTAAATTTAGCAACACATTTCAAACTGGAAACTTAAACTCCCCTTCCCCTCATTTGTTACAATGCAATAGAGGCGTCATAGCAGCTAACTTGACATAAATATTCTGTAGACTAAAATACAAAGTCTATATGACAACAGTATGCATGTTCATACTTTAAGTTATTTCAATCCAGCTTTCAGAACAGTAAACAGTCGACCCTCCTCCAGAAAAGTGAATTGAAGGCGGCTAAAGTATGCAGCTAGGCTAAGAGGCTAAGCATATCAGCTAACATCATCTTAAATTACATTTAATGCGCAGTCGTTTGTTTTAAATAAGCACCTCTCAGAGCCGACGTCTGCTGATGATACACCCTCGTTAAGAAGTTCACGAACTTTCTCTGGAGATACAAGAGAAGACTTAGATTGATTTGAATTGCCAAGACGATGCCCGGGACTACCACCGAGAGTCGCCATGGTCGGCGCTGTGCTCCCCTGGAAAATGCACCCACAAAGAATTGTTCCGCTTTGCAAGACCACGACAGCCCATCAGCACGACTCACTATAATTCTTAACTTTGTTATCAAATTTAAACATAGTTTGTCAGGCTAGATATTTGAATAGGACATATTTATGCTGATGGAAAATGCTTAAAGATATTTTTTGAATCAATATTTCCATTATCCTTTAGTCATATAATACACTGCCTGTTGACAGAATTACCTATAAAAGAAAAAAGTAAAAGTTACCAGGTTGGTTGGTCTTACCAGGATGTGTTGTGCCATGCCCAAATAAATGTGTAAGCTAGTTAAGAGCAAAATATAGAAGTAAAATGTCAAAATGTCAAACAAACAAAAATGAATTAAATAAAGAGGTATTATTTTAATACACAGGGGATAAAGGCTATGATATACCCATGTGCAGTTAATAAAAAAAACAATGTGTATATATTTTTTTTATTAAGTTTAATTCAGTCGCACAAAGAAAGCTGTGTTCGTATCAAACATTTGAACAATCCTCCTACATGTTCCTTTCAAGGTAATAATCTGCTGATAACACATGGGAACAGGTTGTGCAGCTTGAGCTTCTTTTCCAAAGTTATTCGACAGTTATTATTGGAAATGATAACGTATGTTTAATTTAATTCATGGATAATCCATGGATTTTTCCAAAAAATACAGAATGATATTAAAAAAAAATTGTTTGGGATGCCATGGGGGAAAATAATCGTCCTTAATCAATTGTGTTAATGTATTTGTTGAGAACTTAGCACAGAACAGACACATATGACACATGTACTGTTCACATATTGCTAATTTTCTTGGAAGTCCCATAACAATGAACCTAGAGGGAAACTAAATATGTACATATAAACAAGCAACTCAAACTTGCACACGAAGTCCCGCCCAACCTGATGACGTAATATCCTAGCAACAAGCCTGGTGATAGGCCAAGCGTGTTTCCGGGGTGGGGGGGGATTTGTGGATGGCTTCAAACCTGCCTGAAATGTGAAATGTTTAATCGGCGCTTTCATAGCCGTTGTTTTCTCTCAGCCTGACCTCTGCCTGCAGGGCTGGGATTTAAAGAGGAAACATGTCGGACGTCGAATTTGGGCACTGTTCAGACCAGCTGAATAAATTCGAGAGACTGACAGGCAGGCCGCTGCACGGAGTGATGTTAGCAGGTTGGTTAACAACATTAGCAAGCTAAGCTAGCAGCGCTATGTTTTGTCTCGCTCGTTTATCTTGATTTTTGTCAAGCCAAGTGCCTTGGATGTCACTTGCATGTTTTGGATTCAGACGTTTTTACAAGTAACACTCCTTTCCTTTATATCCAGCTAAGCAGACAACCCTTAGTTTCTCCTTCGTTGTCTGTTGACATTTTGTTAACAGTCATGTAGCCTAACATATGTTATGAGATCAGAATGTTAATCGCCTGTTTTACTCATAAAAAGCTGCACGAGTATGGACTGAGATCATGCTGATTAGTAAGCTGCCAAGCGAAACAGACTTCCACGTTTTGGAAATGTGTCAATCATAATGTAGGCGCTGAAGAAATGACTTTCTGCTTGTCTTGGACAAATATTCTAAAGTCTATCATACTGGTTAAATGGAGATGTAATTACAATGTATACATTATGATATTAGGCCTCCCCATAGCACTCGATGGCTTTGATCAGTGCAGGTACAACATGAAATTCCAATAAGGTTCTCTCTTCCTTTGCTCTTTGGCTTCCTTTTTTGAGTGTCACAGATATGGACTTACAGATGGCAGGGTCAGTCATGCCATGTTACCAAGTGACCTCCAGATCACTTCCTAGTTCTGTTCTATGAGGCTGATCTTGTCTCACGGTAACAAAAGTTTGACTTAAATCACAGTCAATTATCATCTGCAGAGAGCAATTTTTAACCTCGCAGGCAGTAACATTGACTGTGAATAGTGCATTTACTCTTTGTTGCCCTTAGACTGATAATCTAATGTCCTTTTTTGTCTAAGATTTTAGGAAACATATTCATGTCCCACCGGTGACAATATCTGAGGAAGTATGACATGAGCTTGAATGAATGTGGTACTGTCTGTATATAAATGATTTTGTATAAACTGATTTTAATGTTCTGTGTTGTTACAAGGATTGATTTTTTATTTTATTTATCACAGTGGATGTTTGATTTTTATGCTTTCCAACACTTTCCTGTCCCTTTTATGCTCCACTTGCTGAGCTGGCCCAATCCATTATAAATCCCTCTCAGTAAAATACATCGGGTGGTGATACATCAGATTTGAGATTTAGTTAACTATTAATGCTGGTATGAGCATTTTTCACTGGAAAACATGGTTAGCTCTTAAAGCTTTAATGTGCAACTTACTGGAGAAATGTACCTTTGGGTTGTCTTGGCTCAATGTCTGTGAAGGATATTCTCCTGCTTGTTATTTTAATTGTATTGATAGGGTATTGGTAGTTAGTTTTTCAGTATATTCCTTCCTTTTATTAGTGTTTTATGTGTACCAAATAACCTTTTGTCCATCTCATCAGTTCTAATTTTATCAACCAGTTTAATTTCTCTGTCAGCATGTTCCTTCACTCCTCCTTTTAAAGCTTTGTTCTTTTCTTTCCAGGTCATCGATCTCCCCCCGCTCGCAGTGGGCATCGCTGTGTCGCTGACAACTCCAACCTTTACGTGTTTGGAGGTTACAACCCTGACTACGATGAGTCAGGAGGCTCAGAGAATGAAGACTACCCACTGTTCAGAGAGCTTTGGAGGTACCACTATGCCACAGGCTGCTGGCAGCAGATTCAAACTGATGGATACATGCCAACAGAGCTGGCATCTATGTCAGGTTAGACATTCTATCACGAAAGTCTGTATTTCATGCTAAATAAAAGTGGATAACGTTTTTAAAATCAATGTCTGAAATGATGAGTTTTGTGTGTTTTTTGTCCAGCTGTTTTGCATGGCAACAACCTGCTGGTGTTTGGTGGCACCGGGATCCCTTTTGGTGAAAATAATGGCAATGATGTTCACGTTTGTAATGTGAGGTACAAGCGATGGTCACTGCTCAACTGTCGAGGGAAGAAGCCCAACAGAATCTACGGACAGGTAGCAAAATAAGATATCCTAAGGACTGGAGGGTAAGGATTTTGATTCAGTGGCATTTAAACAGTTCACGTCTTTCCTCTTTCAGGCGATGGTCATTATAAATGGCTTCCTGTATGTCTTCGGTGGGACAACGGGGTACATCTACAGCACAGACTTGCACAGGCTGGACCTGACCTCCAGGGAGTGGATTCACCTCAAGCCCAACAACCCCCCCGACGACCTTCCTGAGGAACGGTACTGAGCTGGGGTTCCTGAACGGGCTGCCAGGTGATGGATGGCTTTTTCTCATTCCCTAACACTCCGTGATATGTGTTTGTCATGTGTGCCACAGATATAGGCATGAAATAGCACACGATGGGCAGAGGATCTACATTCTCGGAGGAGGAACTTCCTGGACGTCTTATCCTTTGGACAAGGTACTATACATCTATAGCCTTGAAGGGTTGTCTGAGTCTGGTTTGTCTTTTAGAATTTGTGAGTCTCAGGTGCTGTGTTTTACAGCATGATTCTGTGAAAAGCTTTATTATTTTAGAAAAATAATCTGTCTTATCAATGTTTAAATCAGATATTGTAATACTTGTTGTTTTTATAGATACATGCCTACAATTTGGAAACAAATTCTTGGGAAGAGATTACAACAAAACCTCATGAAAAAATAGGTCTGTATCATCTGCCTTTTTAATATTGAGGCTTGTTTTGTGCCCCTGCCCACTTTTCTAAAGAGCCTGTTATTGACAGGGTATCCTGCTCCTCGACGGTGCCACAGCTGTGTTCAGATACATAACGGTGAGAGAGTATTCCTACATGGAATGTCCTTTATTTTTATCTTTTTTTTCAATTCTATCTTCCGGCTGTACAGTCACTGATTGCACCTTAAATCATCAGCTTGCTTTTTCTGTTTTAGATGTATTTATCTGCGGAGGCTACAATGGGGAGTTGATTCTAGCAGATTTGTGGAAGATCAACCTGCACTCTTTCCAGTGGAGTAGACTACCAGCAGTGATGCCTGAGCCAGCCTACTTTCACTGTGCTGCTGTCACCCCGGTCAGTTCCAAACACTGTTGCAGAACTGTGTATGTTAAGATTAACACATGAACACGGGCTCTGGCTGATTGTGAATGGTAAAAATGCATTTGAAATATGTTCAGAGTGAGTGGCCCATGTGGTCAGAATCCAGAAGGACTTATAATGCTTAGTGGAGGGTGAAAAACCTGCTTAATGTTATGACAAAAGATGGTCAGACTGCATTCTGTGCCCCCTGTGTTATCTCCTTTAGCAGAGGAAACACTGGAGGAGGAATAATATGGTCTCGCGTTTTGTTGCAGTTGTAATATTCAAGGCAACGTTCAATGATTTCCATAAAGTCTCATTAATTTGGATTCAAACTGATAAATGTGAGAACAGCAGAGTAGGTAAGAACATGACCTCTGTGTCCTTTTTCTTTTTTATCTTTCGCTGGGTTGTCCACATTTATGCTACCCGCACAAAAAAAACATGGTAAGAACACGCAAGAAAGTATTTCATGTACTTGTAGTTTCACAACTGCAAACCCACATCACAACCAAGTTTGACTTCGGTCCGATTATCATTGTAGAGCAGTTGTGCTTTCCTCAATTTTTATGAATTCCTCTTACCGTCCTTCCTCGACCTCATTCCTTTCCATCAAAGCAGAAGGAGCAGGCTTTAGAAATAGACACAGTAGGCCAAATATACCCCGCTGCTCTCTGAAACAGTTCAATAGATATCAGTTGCTGTAATCTGTTTTTATGAATGGTCATTTAACTTTTTGTCCTGGATTTTTAAAAGACAACCTCCTAACGCCAAAGCACACAGGAAGACTTGTAGAACCGCATGGGTTTGAAATGAATGTTTTCTCCCCTTTGACTCTGTCCCCAGGCTGGCTGCATGTACATCCACGGAGGAGTAGTGAACATTCATGAGAACAAGAGGACTGGTTCACTGTTCAAGATCTGGCTTATTGTGCCCAGTCTGTTGGAGCTTTGCTGGGAGAAGCTCCTAAAGGCCTTTCCACATCTGACTTCTCTCTCCAACATGCAGCTCCTGAACCTGGGCCTCACACAGGAGCTGATAGAGCGATTGAAGTAAGCACAGTGGAGCACGGACAGACGATTGGGAGGGTTGGGCTGGACAGCTGGGGTGGTACCACCCATCCCCCCTCTGCCCGACGTAGCCCCGCCTTAAAACCAAAAGCAATGGGATGCCTTTTTTTATGTTCAGTAATTTCTTTTCTCTAGGTCGTCTCGGTGATGATAATGAATATGCGTGGAATGTTTTACGAATTTTACTCGACTCGCCAGCATTCGGATTCCTGGCCGTCTTTTTCCCAAACCGTGACAGTTGGGAGAATGTTTATTTTGCCAGGTCAGGAAGTCTTACACGATCATTATTTTTTTTAATCTGCATCCTCTGGTAACTTTATGAATTCAGTGCGAAGGGTAAATGCATGCATATTTATTTAAAGGACTATTTTCCTCTTTCTGGAGGGATGTTTTCATAAACTCATATTGCTGTTTGCACATTTTGTCTTATACATTTGTAGGCATTTGCATATTGATAGATTCTACACACAGTAGCAATCACAGCAATTATTTCTGTCTAAAAGGGGTGCAACTTTTTTTTTTTGTTTGGTTTGCTTTAGATCCTAGTTATACCGACACTGACATATGTCCTCTCTTCAGAAAACACTTCTTGCAGCTGAATGGTATATATACAAAGAAAAAAACACTTGGGACTTGAAAAATGCTAAATGAAGATAAAAGCAAAAAGCGTCAACTACAATATGAGCCAAGCTAATGGATTTTGTTAAGACTTAGCCTTGGAAAATGCTGGTCTTGGCTACTACATGTCTGGATCCTGCTACTGTCTGTATTTTCCATTTTATAACAGCTTAGATCGAAGACTCAGCAGAAAAGATGGGTCGGCAGGCTTCACAGTTATTTATTTGCTTACAGCCTTTGCCAATCAGACAACACTACACATCACTGTGAATCTGGTGCTCTTTAAATTTGATTTAAAAATGATTTTATTTAAATAAAGACCTATTTTACACTTATTTTGTTGATGGCAGTGGTTTGATGTTTGTACTGCAGTGCCTTCTTCAAACTTATAAAAGAATATTTCACCAAAATTATATAATTGCAGGTATAGACGTATGTCTTAATTGGACACAGAGTTATTTAATGAAATTTTAAAAATCCACTTCTTTAAAGTAATTCTTGAAGGGTGCATTTGCCAGTTGTTATTTTAAGGCTTTGTGATCTTTTCCCATTAATTAACTTCACATTGAGCACTAGTCCTGAAAGCACTGTCTGCATTCTCAATATTGACCTGATGCCAAATAAAGCTGCACCTTATCAGTGTGATTAGGAGGAGGAATCTACTGTGTGATTTTTGGAAAGGCTGTGTAGTTTCCAAATAGTTGCCAAACATAAATCACCCCAACCTCTCTCGGTCTGAACCACTTGGTACATGATTTGATTATCTGATTTTTCTTTTACTTCAAATATTGACTTTGGGAAATTATTTTACAAGTAAGATCTGAAATGTGTAATAGGCTTGTAAAAAATGTGTTTAGAGCTCTGTCAATAAAAGTGTTGTATAAATAGCCAATTTGTTCCATTTTACTGAAGCTTCTTGTTTTGAGAATGCGCACAAGACAACTTTAACAACTTAATACAAAATACAAGTAGTGCTGCCTGAAGATACTTTTTAAAAATCCGGCAACATTTGTTAACAATCTACATTTATTTCAATATTAATAACATATTACAACAATCCAACATTTTTAACTACAAAGCACACTACACAGCATCTGCCATCAAAAAATTATCAAGTATACATTAGGTGGCGTAGACATTTAGAAGATTCACCATTTTCCAGTCAAAAAGTTTAACATGAGCGTGGGGATGGAGCAAAGAAGTAGAGAGCCAGAAGGATGAGATAAACCACCACTAGAGCTGTACCTGCAGAAGAAACAAAATGGATTATAATCTTAAATACATGTCAACATTATTCATTGAAACCTGAGCGCAATCTGTAATGGATTCTTTAGGATTCAACATGGCCTACATTTCCATTCCAGTTAAGGGACCATGTCCTTTTCTAATTTGAAGAAACGTACCCTGAAAGTAGTCACATTTCCCATCCATGAAAATGTAGTTGACCAGAATGACACTAAAGATGCTGGCCCAAAGATGAATATCGCTGAACACCAGCACGAAACCGACGTCCTGAAAGTATAGAAAAAATGAAAGCTTTTGAATTCACTGTTCATTTGTCAGGGACCGTGCACAAGATCATCCGAAAATGACTTACATAGAATGCGTTGAAGAGGATGAGTAGTGGAATTTGAATCATGCAGACCTGCACAGCAATGCAGCTGCCGACTTCGAGACTGAAACATGAAAAACTGAATTAATTTAAAAGCAAAATGCTTCCCTATTCAACATGGCCGAGTCATACTTTAATGAAAGGTTATTCGAAAGATTCTCAAGTCAAAAATGCACAGAACTTAAACAAAATGCCTTCCACGGTTTAGAATAGAGGAACTGTTATGGTAAGTAAAAGTAATGTGAAGTGGCAAACCTCAGGCTGATATTATTCTGCAGTGCAAACTGGATCCCGTTAACAATCTCAGGAAGCTCTGGCACCATGGCTAACACTGTGACACCTATGAAGTACTGCAAGACAAAGGGATGAGTCATTTCACCAAAACGCCATAGTTTGAATCCATTTTTACATTTTGTCAACCAATATTTCATCTAGCTTGGAGTCAGAGGTCAAATTGATGCATTTTGAGTACCTGAGAAATGGAGGAATGGGTCAGTATGGGTTCAATGTTCTCGGTGCAAAGGTCAGCACAGCAAGCCATCAGCCCAGTGGCGACGATCAGCACGGCCAGAGCCCTCCAGCGGGACCAGTGCACAACATGATGACCTGTCGGCAGCAGACAACACGTGAGCGCACCAGCTGGCCCGAGATAAATATTCATGACCTGTCTTACTAAGGAGGACACAGAAAGTTTAAGAAATGTCTAAGGTCCTTCCTTTCACAAGTGAAAATTGTCAATACATATTTGCAGTGGAGTTTATATTTACTTCTTGCAGGATTGTTCTCATATTTCAGAAGAATTCAGGATCTAAATGGCAATATTCTCACGCATTTAAGTTCTTTACTCATGCTTGATTAACAGATTTGACGTGCACAGCTGCAATGTTACCCAACAGCGTGGAATAGTTGTGTTAGTCACATGCACATGGCTGTTAATGTGGTATGCTCCTCCAACGAAAAGACCAAAGAACTGCATGCACACCACACACCTGCTGCCACGTGGCTTGGGGCAATAATGCTGGCATTAATACACACGTTGGTGTGAGGTAGACGGTCAGTGGTGACCTCACCAGTAGGGCTGCAGGCGCTGGTACCCTCCTGTGCGTACTGCCTGTGTGCATGGCCCCCGTCACTGATATGGATATCATAAATGTGGGAGTGGGTCTTCAGGGTGAAGATGAGGCCGATAAGGTATGAGGCAGGAAGCAAGACAGAAATGGTGTACACTAGAGGCCTAGAGGACATAAATGTGCAATTAATAAAAGCATGAGTGGGTTGATCATGTAGAAAATGCAAAACAGAATTCAAATAAACCTTACTCAATATGGGACAGAATCAGATGCGGGTCAGCTTGAGTCTGTGAGGGAAAAAAAAAAAAAGAGATGACTTCCATTGATAGTAAAAAATAATATTCATAATAATAATAGAAAAAAACACACACATGATGAAACAAATAAATAAGGCAGAAAGCAATTTTTTTTCCTGTGTATTAAGCCAAACGTTAATTTCCATTAAATGCATGGGGCCAAAAACAAGACTGAAAAAAGTTCTAAAAAGTGTTATTTGTAGCTTAGTGTGATAAAGACACCCACCGTGTCATAGTGACAGTCTTTGCAGATGAAGGGTACGCTAGCATTGCCTGGAACATTAGAGCAGCTTTCACAAACCAGATAACCAAAGGTCTTTGAGAAGAGGGTGGGTGCAAACACACCTGAGGACAAGATGCACCACACGAATCATCATTAGAATTGGGGATGCTAACCTGTTATAAGTTGGCCTTTTATTTTGTAGGTATATCAGCCTTCCTTACCTCCGATGGAGATGAAAAGCAAAGATGAGCTCACCCCAGCGGAGCGACTGTTAAAGTGCTGCTCTCTGTGTTTAATACCTCCAATCGTCATACAAATGCCCTGGGCAGCAGACAAACGAAACACCAACATGCGTTCAAGCGTCAGCCGTAGTTACAGTGCAGTGTGTGCAGTTTTCACAAACAAGACCAAGACTGCATGTTCATCCGCCCCTCTGTTAAACTCACAGGTATGAACAGTATACACCCGAGCAGGGTCCCAGTGAGAGCAGCTTTGACTATCTCCTCATAGCACTTGGTGGCGGCGCGATGGCCCCGCAGCAGCGCCGTGATGTAGAACGTCATCTCAGTGATGGAGCCAAAGGTCGCATTCACCACGGCGCCCACCGCAAAATTACTCTGTGCTGAAATACTGCAGAGAGGACGCTGTTGGGTATGTGCTTTTTGTTCCTTAATACGGACATAAAGCAAAGATTTTACCTGGCTATTCCCATGCCAATGTAGTACGACAAGGGAATTATGGATGTGAGGGCAATGGCAAACATGGTCTCTGCACTGAAGTAATTGTGCTCACGATCAGTATAGCCTATAATCAACGTCATGAATACCAAAGGTAGCAAGTCTGCAGAGAGCAGACTTAAGGAAAACAAAGTGTTAAATCAACAGCTTCAATTAAAAAAATAAAACTCAAAAGGATACTGAGAGCAAAAATGTTGATTCCTTGGACAGTGAATTTGTAGTAATGCACATTGAAAGCCTGGTAACAGCATAAGATGACTCTGGACTCGCACACTTGAGTCTGCAAAAGACAGAATGCCATGAATTAGTAGTGGTTTTGAGATTTAGCAAACACACAAATAACAAGAAATGTACGATTTGCTACTGTGTTTTATGCGAGATACCGACGGTTTTACCTTTTCCAGTTTGCGGATCTGAATGTCCTCGGGTGCCATGAGGAGGACGGTGGTCAGGATGCGGCTGTTCATCTTTGCCACCGGTATGGTGAAGACGGGCAGCCAGGAGAGCACACAGGCTACGGAGTGGACCACAGCCAGGATGGGAAAGCCCACCAGCAGCCAAACGTAGGTACCAACGCGACACTGCAGACACACACCAGAGAATCCGAAAACTTCATGTCCAGTTGCCTGAACTGAACTTTCCAAGCGTGACCATGACCTTGATGACTGAGAGTCTTCACAGATAAATCAGAAAAACATTTCCTCAAATGATCAAAGTCACTCCAAATGTCTTACCCAGTGATTTGAGCGTTTACGGGGTGGCAGAGTTGGGACGGGTATCTCGATGGGGAGAGGGGAAGACACCAGGAGGGGTGCACAGTCCTGATCCCCCACAAGATCCTCGTCCCTCTCTTGAGAAATGACGTCGCAGTTTGTCGGCTTCACGGTGGATCTACTGATGACATCAGGAGCCTGAAAATTTCAGTGAACATAAATGAGAATAAACAGTTTCCTCTGAAGGTGACATTATGTCCTCACTGAAAATATATCTAATGAAAGGACTTCCGACATATTACCTTTCCTATGGACTTCCCAAACGGCCAGATAAAGTACCAAGCCAACTTTAAACAGATCTTTCCTATGAAAAAAGTAAAAGTCAAACAAATTGTATTACATTTAACATCAATGGGAAAATGTAATTATCTCAAAAGACACAGCCATACATACCATAAGGAGCCCCAATGATTGTAAGAAACATTAAAGGACAAATAAGTATGTAGATCAAGGAGATCCACAATCCAAATAGTAATACATAAACAATGTTGCCAACGGTGACCACCGAACCTGGAGGGATGGAGACACTGTCAACACAAGCTAAATGCAAAAATCCAAGATTTATACATGAGAATCCACAGCTCAGTCAACCCAATTAAAGAGGCCACAGGAGGAGAGAAGAGTTCAAAAGGACCTTCTGGAAGCCTGACAACACTGAGGTCAGTGTACAGTTCTTTGATGATCTCTGATCTGTCTTCAATTGGCCTCTCGGTTACGTTGCCCTTCCACTTTCGGAAGCCAAACTTGAAAAAGAAAATGTGTGACATTAGTATTTACAACATACTCCAATAGCACTCTGATAGACGTCTAAAGCAGGTGGACTTCAGTGGTCACTATTTCAGCCACATATAAATCAAATCTTTAGTGAGGTCCGAACTTTGCGTCACCTTGTAGTTGTTGGCCTCCCTGTGTGCCTCCACCTCATTCTCAACTCTGATTGTGGTCTTTGAGGTGCCCTCGTGCCATCCTTCTTCTCCACACCTCGGTGGAGTGGATCGGGATGAAGTACCACAACCCCCTGTGTGCATCACAAGTGAGAGAAAAATGATTCTAGTCCAAACATTTTCCAGCTGTTTTTAGCTTACGTCTGTTGAAACGAAGCTTTAGAATCAGGTAGTGTATACAAGTCTTCATCACCTCTGTGGACAGCGAGGAAACATTTGGGCGTGTAGTGACAGAAATGGTGCGCTGAAGCGTCCGGAGAGGGTGTGGTCACCGCGCCCAGCTCTGGATGCTGGGGCCCCGCGCACAGCCGGTCAGCCTGGCTCTGGAGCCTTGGAAACCGGAAATGCTGTTCAGGATCAAAGGAGTTCTCTGAACAAGAAATGCGGAGAGCAGAAAGCGGCTTCAGTAGAAGTAAAGTACATCTGTCCTGAGGAGTGTGACGGACATCCAGGACAAATGCCCTCCTGTGGAAATTTGCATGACTAACAAAACCCTCATGAGAGTCATGCAGTGTCCCCGGCATGCTGGAAGCCACCGGCCGCCAAGACCAATCACTTTATCAACACATTTCAACACAAATGGAAATTATTTACACTTGTCTCATATTAAAACAGGCCACCTATGATTAATGTGATCATGAACATTGTAAAAGTCATGCTTAACATTTCCACTATTAATAAAATAGTAAAAGTGTCACTTCAGAAAGAAGTCTGACAAAAAAAACAGGGGAAAAAAATCCTATCTCTCCATAATTAACATGATTAAATATCCTACAAATTAATGATCCGTAACAATGTGTTGGTATCAAATGACAAAGGAAGGAACTTTGAGAGTCCAGACTGCCAAACTTTCCTCACTCATGACAGCAAAATAGATTGACTTATTTAAAAAAGTGCCAATTTAAATATAGAAACCAGAGGCTCTGGTTTCTATAATTTCTCCTAAAGCTGGTCCCTCTCCTACCTGGATAAAGACAAAAACAGCTCCCTAAATTGGGCCTTAAAGTTCACAAAAACTAAGACACAACTCTTCTGTGAAGGAAAAGATTCTGGTGGATACAGACCCCAAACTGACAGCCTTGCAGGCGTCTCAGCCCCAGAAAAATGTCAGTTTTAGCTCTCATGGTAAAAAAACAAAAAACAGCGGCTGCACAGGTGGCTTTAATAAGCTCGTTGAAGCCTGAAGAACAAATGAAAAAGACAAAGAACCTGTGATCTGGTCTCACCTGCTGACTCCAGCATGGATCTTTTGCGCAAACTCTCTGCATCTCCCGGTGCCAGTGTGTGCGACATTTCGTGCGTGTTTCCTCTGTGCTGTTCCTCCTACTGTATCAGGCGTCCGCAGCCGTCCTCATTTGAGCGCAGTTGTGACTGGCTGTTCATCACGGGAGGCAGCAGACCTGGGGGTGGAGGGGAGGCGGCTGCGCTCAGACGCATGCCGTGCGCCCTTTTTGCGCGTCACGGTCTTATTTTAAAGTTGTTTTAATATCAGTTTGGCATTTGGTCTCCATATGTCTTTTGCGTTATGAATATATTTCCTCCTTTAAATTAATTCAATTTCGAAAAGTTGATGGATTCAAACAAATAAATAAATAACACAGCGCCCCAAGTGGGCTAATAAGTGTACAGCATCAGCATCACAGTAAGAGACAACATGGAAGGACACAAAAAATGTGGGATTACTTTTATTTACATGAGAGAAAAAAAAGCCCAGCTGCACAGTAAAAGTGACAGTATTTTTTTGTCCACAGTTAGAAGACATAAAGCAACAAATTAAATCTTTTTACAGCACACAAAAAGTTAAAAATGGTTACTTTTTAAGGCATAAAAAGTCATCTTCATTTATTATTTCAATAATCCTTAAATTTACGTGTTTACGGTGGGCCAACGAAGTGAGGAAGCAAATAAGATAAATAACTTTCTCGGACACATCTCACACAAAGTTGCTAGACAAATCTGACAAAACTTAGTTATGTTGAATAAAAAGCAATATAATATGACAGCACTACAATGACATTTGGATGACAGCACAAGTGACAGCTTTATTTGAACAAAACAGTTGACTCTTCCCTTTTTATTTACCAACTCAACAGAAAAATACACAATTTGTAAATGTATAAAAATAATAAACATTTTGTGGAATCTCTCAATATAAAGCACTCATCTTCAGACAACAAAGGTGTAAGATCTGGGGGTAAGTATGACATCTAAGCCCACTGTGATACAGAAAAAGACAAAATACATAAGCTTTTTTTTTTACTGGACTGAGGACGAGACACATCTGATGCCCAGTTTAGTCAGAACATATACAACAAGATTAAAGATATGAATATTTCAAATATGTACAAGGGGGGGAAACAACAAAATTGTGAATAAAACTGTCTGTGAAAAAGGTTTCAGCTCAATGCAACAATGCTGCCAAAAAACAACAATACAAACAAACAGAGCTGATTTATTGCACAGGCAATAAAGTGAATAGAAATTAGCATATACTTCAGCCCAATAACTGCCTGGTTACAGTAGCAGATCAGTAAAACTGAGTTAGCATCTATTTGAAAAATTGTGGACAAATAATACTATACATTTTGGGAACTTCAGTTTAAAACTAAAGTGAATTATCAGAGTGCCGTGTTGTGGAACTAAAAGTGTGCCATCCAAACTTTACTGTATGATCTAACGTGTCAGTTCAGCTAATTAGTGATTATTTCTGTGATTTTAATGCTAGAAGGTACAAATGGTTAGTACCTAACACTAATAGTAGATAAACACAACTAAATAACAGTTTTAGTAGTGCAGGAGAAAAATACATTTGTACAAACATTAGCAGGGAGGCCTTGGCTTAAACAGCATTTGTAGTTTGTCTGTGACTCTCTTTCTGTACAGTAACTTGTTAAGAGATCGTACTCCCTTTAGAAAGCTGAAATACAAATTCGGATGTAGAGACTATGAATCAGTGTCAAATTGGTTTCAGAATTGACCAAAAAACCTTATTTATCCTCACCATAAACATCCGGAGCCAGTGGTTCGGGTTATTTAACACGGGCTGACCCTGCTGTGTCACACAGAGTGAGCTGACTCCAGCTGACACACGTGTTGAGCGTTCAGATAAACATATCTGTGTCGTTTCCAGCCAAGCACAGTTTAGCTGCCATATCTCTTTTTTCAGCATGGAGTTGCCTTTTAAAGTTTACTGTGTACAAAATTATAGTAAAAATACAACACAGAGATATAAAAAAATATTTTTCACTAAGTCATTCACAATGTGTGTTTTTTTTCATTTCATCCCTCACATTTTCTTAAAAATACAGATGCATTGAAAATGACGGAGAAAAAACAAAAAAAAAACAGAAAAACTGACCGGCTTCGTAGCATCTTGAGGCCATCGGGAATTCGGTGCACTTTAGTAAGAAACGGTGAAAGTATCCAGCACTTCTTCTAGCTTACTGCGTGTACCATGAAACAACATGTCTGAATAATTGCTTTAGAAGTCTGAATCTGCGTCCATAAGCTCCGCCTCCATTAGATTGGTCCTGGAGTGGATGGGTCCGTAGCCGGTCCGTCGGCCTACTGGTACCCGAGCCACGTGAGCCATCCTCTCTGACATCCCGCCGGCGAAATCCATCTCTCCTGGGTAGAGCGTGGACCCCGGGGGCTGCCAGCTGGAGGCTGAGGGCCGGCAGCGGGGCCCCAGACCCAGGTCCTCCGGGGGGTCAGCGCCGGTCAGGGCTCTGGACTGCAGGCCGCTGCTGTATCTGTTCTGGCTGCCATTGCAATACCTGTAGGAGCACCTGTCCTCACAGGAGAGGCGGTTTGGGGGTGGGACTTCTGGGAAAGAGCCGGGCAGGACCTCCTCCTCCATGCTCTGCAGCTGCCTCTGCTGCTCGTGCAGGTTGGCCACCAGACTCGGGTGACACGGCAGTTTGGGTAGCCTGGGGACCGAGCTGCGGCCAAACTCACGCTGCCGGTACATCTGGTGCTCCACCACCTCCTCGGCCGGACGCACTTCCTTTCTCCTCTTCTTCTTCTTTTTCCTCTTTATCATCTCCGGAGAAATTTCGGCCTCTACCATCCACAGCCTGTTTCTCTCCTCTGGAGGTGGCACTGTTGAGAAATGCCAATAAATCATGAATCACGAGCATCGAGTCACAGGAATTCACATGATATTTGACCATTATTAAGACAGAGTCAGTTATTTAATATCATCTGACATCTCACTGTCTTTAACTGGCTTGTTGCAGATGAACAGAGGGCAGCAAAGGCAGCATTATAAACACAGCCCTGTGTTAACGGGCCTCACAGGGCCACAGGATCTCACCTGGTGTACCAGTGGGAGTGACCGATATGTCCTGAGGAAGGATGGCACCTCTCCTGGCCACCATCTTGGTCACATGCTGAGCCCATGCTGATGACATGTCATTGGACGGCTCATTTAGTTCAAAATTAATTCCAGCTATGAAGGAGAGAAAAACACTTTATGAAGTTGAATATTTTTTTATTGCTGTTAGTATCGGTTGAACAAACACACTAAATAAATAAAAGTGGTGACCACACGTTTCAGTTACACTCATTTACCACAAGATGGAGGTGTTCAAACCTGCAAGGACTCACTGTTCCAAGTTATCGGTGCATCAATCTCTGCACTTCATGATCCCCACAGAGAAGTAGTGACCAGAATTACTATTATCAAGTGACTTTTTTAAATACTCACCTACTGGCCCATCATGGGACACAGTGTGCATGCTGAAGGAGAGCTCCTTTTCCGGGTCCTTATGAAGCTCCTTCCTCATCGCAAATGCTTTTGCAATCATCTTGCTCTTCTTTATCCTCTTGGGTTCATTGTCATTGCGGCCGATGATCCTGTTAAAATAATAAATGAAACCCCACTGCTACCAGCTGCAGATGCTGTGCATGCTCAGAGATACCAGTTTTTTTTTCCACTTTAAAACTAAAATTCACACATCGGAGTCAAGCAATAACATGAGAACAATAAAACTTTGTTTTGAACCATTCATCTCTTCTTACTTGCACCACGTGCGTTTCCAGATGAGAATGGTGGCTTTGGTCCAGACCCAGGTGCTCATGGCAATTCCAGTCCCAAACATGGAGAACAGATTAATCTTCTCCACCATCAGGCTGGGCCGGTTCTTAATGGTGCATTCTGGGATGGGCTTGTTTGTCTGAGAGGCAATTTTCACATTGGCTTCGCACCTGTTGGGAATATCACAGAGATGATGGCTCTGTAATTTCAGCAGGCCGCATGCGCCACATAACTGAGAGGCATTCAGGTGCAGGGCCTGGGGTATAAGAGAGTCTTTTGACCGTAAGGGTGGTTTACATTTTTGAGGTAGAATTAATTCCTATGCAGCCAGAGTAAACACTGTGGGGAAATAGGGCCTCATTCACATATAGCATGCTGAGCTGTCAGACAGCCATTTGGTGTCCCGGCAGCATTGGTTTGGGCATTTCTCCTGTGATTGGAGGCAGTTGGAAAACCTCAGGAAGTGACTCCTATAGAAGCGCTGAGTAGTAAAGTTGTTTTGGAGCAATCAGGTGTAAATCACCTTACTCTGCCGTGTGATAGTTTGGACACCCTCTGCGCGTGAAAGATTAGTCGAGAATGAGAATGAGTTTCTTGCTTGTTCATGCAGATTTTTAGATCTGGCTCGATTAGAAAAAGCTTTTTGTTTTGCATCTGTTTTTGTGGGTCCTGTATTTCCTGGCGAGTGTGTTGTGAAATCTTTGGCTTTTAAAAAATACAAAATAAATAAAAACCTCTGTCCTCATCTGTGCCTGTAAATTGGCATTTCTCACCTTACTGAACTGAGGAAATCACAACCTGAAAACTGTGTCTATGGCTTTTCGAGATCTGTATCACCTTCTCAAAAACAACAGAACTGAAACTTCAGATCTTGGTAAGTGAAAATAAATCAAATCATAGCTTGTCTGTTGTAAAAACTTACAGTACATATTCTCTGAAGCTCCTCTCCCATTCAGCCTGGTTAAAGAAGTCATAAAAGTGGCAGCCGAAGGTGATTAAAACAAAACCGAAGGCGAGGAATCCAAATATACCTAGTATCAGGAAGCAAGACCACAAATTACATATGGGAAATACGACACTTCCTCTCAGAAAATTAATGCACAAACTGTGAAAGAAGGATAAAGTTGTGTTACTAAGTTTCTTAGTTTTAAAGTGCATTCTGTGCATTCGCCTCTGTAAACAGGAAACTCTTACGGGTGCTTATATCATATGGTTCCATTAGTGGTGTTTACATTCTTTGTTCATTTTGCCAGTAGCTGCAGGACAAGCATTTGATTTAAATGACAAACAGTAAATCCTATGTCTCTGCTCTCGCGTCAGGCAACATATAGGAAAAAGGAGATGGAACACAGGTGAGCGATCTTACCAAGTCTCAGCATTGTCTCATTGATTTTGCTTGCTGCTTTTTCACTCAGCAGTCCTGGGTGGTTGCTCTTGATGGAAAACAATGTCATTACACCTAAAAAGAGAATTATTTTCGTACACACTTTAACCGAAAACTTCTTTGGTATCATATCAAATAACTTAAGTTATTTAAATAAAATAACAACATGAGTGAAATGAACTGTGTTGCTGATAGAAGTGTGAACTCACCCCGAATGAGGAAGTAGCCACCAACAACAAGCACCACTCCAATGGGCGCCAGTACAAATCCAGCACGGTACCTGTAGTTCTTGTAGCCCACAAAACAAATCCCACTCACAGAGTCCCCGTCCACCTTTTGGTGCGCCAGACAAGAGACATCATAGGAGAGGCAAAAGGTCAGTTTCTGTTGGTGGGACATATCATTTCAATGTTAAAGTATGGGATGTTTCAAAGGCTCCATTCACACCTCAGCAATAGCTAAGATAGCCACAGTAAGCACAAAGGGGATGGACCAGGTGACCATGTGGAAGTAGGAGGTTCGGCCCAACAGCGGCTGGTGAGTGGTGCCCAGGGCTTTGAAGGACATGTGCCAGGCATAGGTCAGCATGACGAACCAAATCACACCCGACATCAGAGAGTAGTAGACGATGATGAAGATCGTGACACACGACAGGGTTTCTGAGGACCTGCGGAGAACAGAGCAACAGAAGAGGTGACTGGCCGTGATTTCCCGCCCTCCCGAACACCCGGCGGGGGCCCGGCACTTACGAGGGCTCCCCCAGACGCATGGTGTTGTCGCTTTTGCACACGATCTCTTCGCGGGCTCCGTCCAGGAACTGAGCGAGCCAGCCGATGCTGCCCACAAAGAAGCAGGCATTGATGTAGAAGAGGATGACAGCCGGGTAGCGGTTGGAGTTTTTCCAGTCGGCAAGAAATGTGGCCTAAAAAAGATGACACGTGGATAATGAAGGCGAGCCTGAAGCTTGAAAAACTCACTCGGACCTTAAAAAGGGAGAGGTCATTTTAGAGGAGCACTGTCTGTGAAGGCCAACTTTCTCTCATGGTGTGTCCGATATCTCACCAGGGTGAAGAAGGTGCAGAGGAGGGTGATGGTGCCAAAGTATGCGATGTAGGCATGCATGTCGCTGTGCTCCTCCTCAGTGAATAAAGGGTTGTCACACTGGATACCACAGCCCTCCACGTCCTTGTACCAACTGGACTGAATGTCCGTCTTCACCAGGGGAGCTTCGCATTGGCCCGACATGTTGAACTTCAGCTTTTGCACCTCGTTCTGGACACAGCAGATACAGAAATAATCAGATCTTAGCTTGTGGACAACAAACGCATCAACTGCTGAGAGTTACTAATGGAGGCAACTTTAGTTTACAGCTACAACCAGCAAATGACCGCCTTGTTGGGAAGTTGGGAAAAGGACATGATCTAAAATTCATAAGATTTGCCATGTTCATTGACTGGAAACAGATACAGTAAAGACTGTCCTCTGATGTCACACAACAGTAGATCATACCGAGCAGCCCACGGGGAATTTGTCACATTTCAGGAAGTTGGGCCACCCTCTCTCCTGATCCACGATGCTGCAGGGCCGGCGCGTCGCCATACACAGGCTCTTGCTGGGCAGCTCAACTCGGCCATTCTCACATTTAGGCATGTAGATGGCGCAGAGCAGCGGCTGGATGACGGACCAACAGCGAGGGGCATTCCGCAAACCTAAGACCAAAAAAAAAAAAAAAACAGAATCAAAACAGGGTGTTAAATCTTATTCCCCTTGCTACTGTAACTGTTAGTAGTCATCAGGCTCATTTAAAGAAAAAAAAGGCTCTTGTGAGACAGAAGTGTGCATCTGACAGGTTGATAATGAGGTCTAACAGATATCTAAAAACCCTTCTGTCTGCGACACTTCATCTGTGTCCTCCCTCTCACATTTGAAATGTATGTTTTGTTACTTTTAATGGCTTTTAACCTTTTATTTGTGGGGCTCTCGTTCTATATCTGCTTCACAGTGCACTTAAGATCTCATCATGGGCCATTATCAGAGCAATTAGTCCTCATTACACTGGAACAGGGCACAGTTAAACAGTCATTTGTAGATTTGGTTAATCGTTTTTTTGTTTTTTTTGGATTACACTTTTAATCAGGTGAGGATCTTATATTATATATGACGTCTTACATTTTGTATCATTTCTGTACAGTGCTAGCTCTAGGAAATGAAGCCATATTTATTTATTACAATATTATTACCACTCTGAACCCATGTTAATGTTTAGAATATTTCAGAAGGGGGGAGGGGGATGCAGAACAGGAATTGACTTCTGTTTAAGGGCTTTTGTCATCATCACTCCCGGTTTTTAAGAGTTAAAGGCTGTAATGTGTGGCTCAGTATTTGCAGATCTTTTTCCATTTCCCACCAAATCTTACCGGACCACATGGTCAGCTTCTCAAAAGCCTCTTCTTGGGTGCTGGAGTCCTCTGCCAGGACCAGAGACGTGTGTGTGTACGGTAACGGCGACCCCAGGCATGTGTTGTATTTAAGGGCCTCGCAAGTGGTGGTTTTCTTGCAGATATCTTCAAACATGGTTTGGTTTGGGGCCGCCAGGGCCCCGGGGTCCTGGAGCCCGGCTGCCCAGACGCACAGCATCCCGTACAGTCCAACAATGGGGCTCCCACCCGGGGAAGACATCTTGAGGGAGAGATTCAGTTGCGTAAAATAAAGTTTCCGAGCGTTCCCGAATCCTCAGCGAATACGATTCTCACTAATCCAGCAAAGTAAGTCTTCTTCATCAGGTTTAGAATAAGTTCCCAAACGCAGCATTTGCGAGTAAAGTTGCAGGACGCTTAAAAGTTTTCTCGCTCTCCTCCCAAACTTTTTTTCATTCTGCACTTCACGGCCGATCCCCGCAGGATTCCCCTAAAGTCCGTCATTATCCGAACGAGCTGCTGCCTCGAAAAGGGTCCTCAGGTGAATACACGCGGATGATAACCGTGAAGCCATGTAGAATAATCATCTGCGGGGTTTAGACGTGGAGAAAGTTTCTGCTCGCCTCGCCCTCCCCCCACTTCCAAAAAAACTTGAAAAAGTCTGGACCTCTGTAATAGGATCTGTGGCTCACATGCACCACCCCTTCTTCACATTTTTCATCCAAGCGGGGAAATAAGATGAGAAAGCATCCACTATCTGTGTACATGTCCCGGGTGGAGATTCGGGTCCAGATGAATCGGTCCCTGAGTGCTTTTGTGTCCAGATTCTGCCTGGTGTCTGGTTGTTTTTTGTCTCTGGTATGCACATGGTGGGGGGGAGCCAGAGCAACAAAACCTCCCTTCCCATCCCCCCTCTGCAAGTGGAAGAATGTGCCTTATGGCAGACCTTCTCAAAGTTTCTCATCTCAAGACCCCCCCCAAAACAACACAGCCCTGTCTGACAGGTTTGCTCTGGTACCAGGTGGTTTTTTGCACCTACTGAGGGCTCTTGCTAGACAATTATGGATAAATATTTGTATCATAAGCACAAACAAGGGAATTCAGGGAGCGCTTGGACCTTCTGAAAATCACTTATCTACAGAAACAATTCCTAAAAGGGGTCATGCAGGGCTAGAGACAGCATACAGGACCTAAACCGGGATCTAATCTCTCGTTTCAACAAGAAGTAGCTATGTGCCTTACTCCTAATTCAGTCTATAATAAATTATAATTTAGTTGTGTATTTTTGCCATGTCTCATTTACAGTAATAAACCCACATTACCATGTCTCTGCACAGGCTGTACCCATCTGTTAGGCATCACACGTGACCTCATAGTGATCAAACTACACATCAGATGCACAGTTGAATGTATTTAATTTTAATTTTTATTGTTTATTGTCAGTTTTCCTGTCAGATTGTCTCAGACATTATCAACGTTTGCGCTCTGAAGTTAGAGTGAGAAGATGGCCGTGCGTTGCAGTAAGGAGCGAGGGTTACAGTTAATAACTCAAAACCATGTGAAATGAGCTCCCTTGGGACCATCATAATGGCCGGAGTTTCCTCTTTCCTACTTAAGGTGGCTGCAGAAAAAAAATCTACGGCCAAGATAAAAGCCAACAAACAAACAAAAAAACGCCTCAGCTCTCAGTTCAGTTTCTTCACGCAGCATTGAATATTCATGGCTCCCCACTAAAAACCCAGTCCTAACAGAACAGATTTCCACTGTGGGGGTGCTGTCGCTGCATTTTCTCTCTTTTTGAAAGGTGCATTTACAGTATTTGAGCTCGTGCTGATTCTTTGTTTCTGCCCTGGCGTGCTGGGAGTAAAACCAACCTAAATCTGCTCTGTCCTCTGTAGGTGGGAGTGTGTGTTTCTGGGCCTCCTTAAAACTCACAGCAACATGGCTGCCTGAGTGAGTCAGAAGCTAAAAAAAAAAAAAAAAAGGGGACCACACACAGAGGACTGTAGCCCAGACTTACACACAGGAACACACACAGACACACACACACAAACCGACTCAAATACGTTAAATCGCATTCACTACAATGAGAGACTCCCACAGAGGCGCATTGTGCGACTTTTTCACTCCATTTCTCTTCTTCAACAACAACCTAGCACTTGATTGTCCCATCGGGCTGGTAATCCAGCAGATTCTGGTTTGTGCCTGCTCTGGTACCGTGCGGAGGAGGAGTAGCACGGCGGTTGTAAACTAGCAGACAAATGTCATGTTTAGATTGAGGACCTGCGTCAAACTCACAGAACTTTTTTAGCCCCCACAGATTACAACCACCAGGCTTCGGGGAGAAAAAGAGAGGCACTTTGTACAGTCACACAGAGGTGGCCAGACCTCTCTGCTATATCAACAAGCATCCTCTCCAACACTAGATATTAACAACTGACTCCGTCATAGGGAAAAAAACACGAGTGCGAGTGATGAGAGCGGCCTGGATTCATACGATGCATCAGGATGTGAATTCAGCCCCTGAGAAACACTGGTACAGAACAGGGTGTGTGACCTCAGTGGTTTGGCAAACGTTTCTTTGTAATGGCAGCATATTAAAACACACACCCCACAAAATCCAGGGGCCAAATTTTACAGTGAGCTGTAAAAGCGTCGGTCGTAATGACGTCATATGTGGAGCGAGGTCATGGGAGGACTCGTCACAGCACCGAGCCCCACACTGTTCAATTCCCCAAAGTGTGGCAGTGGTTGTATTTAGAACTTATATTGCATATTTTAGCACCCCAGGTTTGACACAGTTTAAGACACACATAGGGTTGCAGAGGCGGGGTTCAGAGGAAAGCTTATGGAAGCGTTGAATCCTGGACAAAAATTTAAAAAATGTTTAATCTGATATAAAATGTAAACTAATTGTACGTTTATATAATTCCCTTTAACGTCAATTACATTTTCTTGTTGAAACATAGTGCACGCTTCTTTGCTCAGCCTTCTTTGATGACAAATTAGAGATAAAACACAACTTGAATAGAAAAGAAGGTAACAGGTAATTGTCCATAAAGTGGCAGTAGACTTTTAAATCAGCTCCTGGTTCATGGTCATCTCTATTCGGACACACTATCCATGTGCTTAAAAAATAATCCTCCACAGTCTTAATACCAAATGTGTTGAAAGGTTGTTGATCAGAAGCTGGTCTTGGATCAGCTCCACGGGTCAACGCGGTGCTTCAGGTTATAGTTCTGCAGCTCAATCTGGTCTTTGATCTGATTGATCAAAACCTGGGACAGAAACATACCAACCAGCTGCAAAAGACAGAAACAGAAGAGCGTGAACAACTAAACTGGCTTCCCGTACATCCTGATGTCTGCTTTGGCCTGCATCCTACCTGTGGTATAGCCAGCCCCAGGGCGACGCCCCCCAGCAGGAACAGATTGCTGTGGATCCAGTTCACCAGTTTGTCTATGCAGCCATTAGTGTGGATGTGTTTCCCGGCTTCCAGGTACTCCAGCTCTTGCATGCCGTGACCACACATGGTGTTGATCACCTTCTAAACACATGAAACAAGGAGAGTTAGGCACACTGGAACAAAAAAAAACAACCCAAAGCTCCCTGATGAATGGCCGGGGGCGACCTGGTCTGTGGATGTGAGGCAGCAGGAGAAGGGCACGGAGCAGCGCTCCCTGCTGGGGTTGCTGCTGCTGCAGTTGAAGTACAGGTTCTGGGACCAGTCAGCGTAGGTCACAGCCCCACAGCAGGCGAACTGAAGGGATTACAATACACGTTTCTAAAAAAAAGCGCTAATGTGAATGTCATTCTGTACATATGAATAAAAAGATTGTCTGTTTTAAATGAGCCGTTCATTTGGGTTCAATTTACCTCTTTCTGGCCAAAGTCAATGAGGTTTTGCAGATCAATATCATCTCGGTAGTGGATAATGGCATCATTGATGATCTCGCTTACTCTATGTCTTGCCTTTAAAGAGTACAAATAATAATAGTAATATTCATACATTTTCAATTTTATTTTTAAAAGCAAATTGAGCAAGCTATAAACAAGCTATTTTATCCATTCATCCATTATCATAACCGCTTATTCCCTAATGGGGTCACAGGAGCTATTTTATTAGTTTATCAAATGTTACAGCAGTTACAAACAAAGACCAGCAGAGGGTGAGGTTTCCCTTCATGGTAATTTTCTTCATGTTTTGTAGAAATGTAAAAAAATTACACATTAATCCACCCAAAGGACATGAATCAGATAAACTGGGAAAAATAAAAAATTCTGTAAGGTCAAATCCAGAAGAGGTTACCTTGCAAAATAACCTTTTCTAACGTATTTAAATTCAGATTGATAGCGTTTCAAAGCCAAATATGAAATGATTTATAAAAAAAAAACACTCAGTAAAGTGGAACAGACAAGAGCGGATACCTGCAGAAGACTGCTAAAATCACACAACAAATGCCCTTATTAGCACATTAGTATCAGCAACTTTTAAATGATGATTGTGTGTGTACCTTATCTGAAAATACGAATCCCAAGATGCCAGCAGCAAGCTGCAGTATGAAGATCACTGTGAGACAAACACAAAACTGGGCAGGGAGGAGACAAGGTTAACGTCATCATTAGCCTGCTCTACAAAGCAGATCCTAACGCCATTACAACGCTGGTAATCAGCTCCATCACTGAAAACAACGACAAAGAAAATAACACAGTCCCACAATGTAGAGACAACTGTGTCTACCCCATACGTATAAGGTTAAATATCAACACTACCTCCACAATTTCTTTCTCTATTTTAGTTTCCTTTAAGGAAAAGACAAACGCTGATAATTTAGTTTTACTGTTGAGAAAAAGGCTATTCTCGCTTACCGTCTGAAGGAGGCAGATGTTCTCTCTTAAGGAACCCACGCAGCCACAGAAGGTTAAGATGAACATGAGCACTCCGACGACCAGCAGCATGATTGCAGGGTCCACCGACAGACAGGCCAGAGCCGTCTCTGAAGGAGGGAAAAGAAAGGTTAAATGTTCAAAGATCAGCGTGGATAGACAGTATTTCACATGTCTGCTGAATGGAAGCTGCAGGCAGTTCTCTCAGGGGGAGATTGTCATAATGACAAAGAGTTATTCTTTGATAGGTAAATCAATAGGTAGCTGGATAACTCAACTACCCCCAGACCCCTCTTTAGCTCCATTAACCACAGAATGTGTGCCTATCGAGTCCTAAATAACACTGGTTGGTTATGAGCGTGGTATCGACAGAGCGAGACACTGTCTACGTTTAAATACCTTTCAAAGCTGAGAGATGCATAAATGAGGAAGGGAACAAAATTTTATCCAAAAGAGAAAAATTTATTTGCAGCATTTGTGGGTCTTAAAATGAATTTTCACAATAACAATGAAATAACAGAAAACACACTGGTCATTCGGCTGCTTTTGGTGAGACGGCATGACCACTGAATCCGTGTAAAAGCAGCCAATCTGACTCCCAGTGTGTTAACATGTGGAGAAGAAATGTACCTGCATGCTTTGAGATGCGGGCATACACGCCGATGGACACCAGCACCAGGGAGATTATCTGAGCAGAGCAGGGGGGGGAAAGTCTTTGTTAAACCCTTCACAGAAGCTGCAGAACTACTTTTTTCTGTTTCTACTTGTCAAAGGAGTGGCTTTTTAATCAGATCTATTCATCGTGACGATAAAAGAAAAGTGCAAAGCCAGTCATGGATGATGTTGTTGAGAAACAATAATGGAGATGTTATGAAACTCCACCCGTGCCCAGAGTAAAACTACACGACCACAAGATTCAGCTTCATGAGGCAGTTCGATGTGTAACTTTCTCTTTAAAAATAAAGAGTCCTTCTCTCAGCTTTCCTCTCCCAGCCTCAATAGAATAATAGTGAGGCCACAGAAACACTCTGAACCATCTTGAATGAAGTGGATCCAGTTACCACAGACCTCATGAGATGGGAGTGAAAAGCTAGATTAGCCTTTCTTTTTTGTAAAGGTTTGGTGAATAAACCAAATATAACAAGTAAAGCAAACATATATTTCTGTATCTATATATATCTATACCTTTCTCTCTCTTTATATATATATATATATGTTTTTTCTTTTCCTTACATAAGACTGTTAAGTCTCATAAAATGTAGCAGTGTTGTGCGAGATTTTGTGTTAGATCCTAAACTGAGTGGTTAATAATCAACAGAATTTAGTCACCAGGATTCTAATGAAATAACGGCCAAAAAAGAAAATAAACCCAGACATGCAGTAATAATCATAAATGTTATATACACTGCCCAGTGTAGCCAGAGGCAGTAGAAATACCAACAATACATTCCACACAGCTGAGCTTCAAGTTTTTACGCAGTCTTATCCTGTTTGTACACGACTGTGCGTCACTCATGTGGGTTTTTCTTTCAGAAACTACTGGACATATTCAGAATTCCACTAAGAGCATTTCTCTGACACAGACCTAAGAAAAACAAACAAACCATTTCTTGTTATCTGTATTTATTTTAGCTTTTGAAAGCCAATTTTGCTCAACTAGACCCAGAAAATACTTGCCCTAGGCATTGTTAATCTGCAAACTGAAATCTCCTTTTGTTGGTCATCTGACCCTGAAAACCACTTATCTGAGCTTTGATTTCTTTTTTGTCAACTAACAGCTTTTCCTCTTGCTGATTTGTGCCCTTTTGGCTTTTTTGTCTGTACAATGATTAACCCGTTATTGTTGGGTTAAGGTGAGGTGGGGTATTGGGGCAATTAGCAGTTTGAACTTAAATCTACCAGTAACTGTGAAATCTGATATACTCTGTTTCTCAGCCAACACATGAACATATGAACTTTCCCTCTCCTGTTTCATTGACCTGTGAGAGCAGCAACATGGAAAAGCAACTTAAACAAACAGAGAGGTGGCTGCTGATAACCACAAAAGAGGAGGGTATGCCAAACATGGCTTGAGTAACTTCAACTGAAGAGTGCTTCTTTGAACTCTTTATAACGACCGTGAAAGCGCATTTCCAATAGTGACTTGTGATTAACCTTCACTGCAAAAGAAAAAGAGACGCAGTTTCGTATCAGCTGGTGAATTTGGCAGCTCAGAACAACTCACCCAGAATAAAAAATTGAAAATGAACAGCAGGTACTTCACAACTGGACTAACAAACGTGAAATCCGGGTCATGTCCAGGTGCGCGTCCCCGTCTTCGCCCCATGGCGACAAAGAATGACCAAAATTTGCGCACAAACGAGCTCAAAACGGTTGAATTTTACTTCTTTCCGTCAAACCATCAGTGTGATGATGATGATGATGAAGAAAGGAGCGCTTTGTAGTAGCGACATTGCTGTCAAAGTGAACTCTGGGTGTGTTGAAAAAATAGGTGTTACCTTTTACTCTCCAGTGCTCCATGATCATATGATACAACCTACAGCAGGGGGCCCCATTCCTCCAGAATGGGTCATGCTTTGCGAACAGTGTTTACTTTAACAGTTTGCTTCTTTATAGAGCTATGTTTTAAATGTTTTTCAAAGATCAAGTGAGCTTTCACGACGAACAATTAGACATAGTCCGGTGAAATGTTTTTTTTTTTTTGTCTTCTGACGCATTAAAAAGAATTACTTCAATTAATTTTCAACTTGAATAATAAATGTTTGACCATATAATAAAACTGGAGAGTTGTAAAACCAAAAAAAGCTTGAAATTTTATTTGAACCGCACCAGATACATTATATTATAAAAAATAAATGCTTATTGCAGAGCCAATTTAAAAAATTACAAAAGCAAGAATATAACAATTCTACATTTTTATGCCAATTTGCAATATGTAAAAATCAATTTAAAAAGCCAGAGATAGGCGTTCCTGTATTCACACACAACAATTTGAGTGGGGAAATCTTGTTTTATTTTATTTGCAATGTATTTGTGTTAAACGTGAAACTAAAAGATGCCACTTTACTTTGAAGTAAGGATTAACGGTTCCATAACATCCGGTTTCACCGGAAGTAGTTTTAAACCTGAATGAGCAAATGTAACATTTTGATTTATTTCTTATTTTCATCCCAAGTAACGACCAACATGGCATGGAGGAGCAAAGGTTAGTGTGACAGCCTATTTTTATTGATAATTCCATGGACATTAGCAGCTCTTTAAAACAAATAACGTGGAATACTCGCGTTAGCTAAAGCCTGCTGTTCTTAGAAGGGAACCGAGTTTGTTAACAGCACTGTTGTTCACAGTGACGATGTGTCAAAGGAAAAACGCTTGTTTCTCATTATTTTCAGGTTCCCCTCTTCCTCCAGCCTCCTTGCAGCTGCTTGTCCCGCCGGTGAGACTCATGTCTGCCTTCATGTGGCAGGTTGTGCAGCAGCACAGTGTGAGGCAGTATGACAAGCTGCTGGACTTCATCAGCCTGGTCACAGAGGTCGTTCCTGAGCTTCTGAGCCCATGTCAGAAGGCTCAGCTCATTCTGGGTCTGAGAGCGAGGGTGAGAATTACCCTGACCCACATTTAATTAGTGTCAGTCGGGATCAATACTTACTGGATGAAACAAGAGTATATTTATTACATGTTATCTTGTTCATGGTGGAACAAGTTGTGATTTGTGTTGTTTTGACTCACACATGTCCCATCTTTGCTGTGTCACAGCTGGTTCTTGAACTGTGTCGTGGCGATGGTGTCGCTAACCTGAAGACCATCCAGAACCACCTCGATAAAATCCACTCCAACAGCGCTGAACTAAGCGCCAGCCATCAGATGGTGGGATATTAAAGAATACTCAGAGAGGGCCCAACACAGAGCAGCAAATATCTGGAAATGATATGTGGTGTGTCTCATTTTTGGCAGGAATGTGCTGATATACTGAAGACCTCTTACGTCAACTTTACAAACCTGGTGGAGAACATTCTGAATGTCCCTTTAGAGAAGGAGTTCTTCTTCCAAGTGAGTCTTGAGTGCACACCTCTCAGCTTCCTCCTTTGGCAAACAACTTTCATAAGCTTCAGTTGGGTGGTTTTTGCCCCCTCTAGCTTGATGGAGGGCAGACTGGCTGATCATTTTGTCAGTTTACCAACCATGTAACAGTAAACTTTCCAGTATGAAAGCAAAATGTATTGATAACTTTGATCTGATTCTATGGATGTGTCTGTAGGAGGTTTTTCCTGAAAACTATGGCTCTGCTTACAACCAAAGGATCCAGCAGCTTGTGTCTATGTTCCTGTCCAGACTTGAACAGATGCTGCCTGTTCCTGACCTCCAACAGGTAATATGGACATAAAAAGTCTGTGATACTGGTAATGAGTGAGGTTTTGCAGAGTCAGTGTTCACTTTCAGGACGTGGTGAGAAGCAGAGATTTGGGCTGATATAACGGTATTTTTTCCAAGGAAAGACTTAAGTTGTGAGAGGATTAGATGGCCGGTAGTCATGGTCATTTCTTTCTTCCTCAGACGACAGCTTGGCTGACTGAAACATCTCTGTCAGAAGGGTTTGGACAATACCTGTCTAACCCTTTTGCCCTGAAGACGCTCCTACTTCACCACAGAGAGTTTAAGACTCTCAGCTCAGGTTTGTACAGGGATCCATCATCTGTTTTCTTACAAAGAGGATAAAGCTGCATTGGGAAACTTAAAAGGCATTGCTCTCTTACAGCTGAGTCAAGCAATGAGGAGGACATAATTTTGTCCACACTGTCCCTTCCTTCTCAAACTGGAGTGGAGAGATATACCAAGCTATTCTCTGACGGTAACAATGATGAGGATTATGACCAAGATGAAAGGAATTTAGCACTGGAGGGCTCAGCAGAAGACTCAAGTCAGAGCTTAGATGAGGCCTCAGATGACTGGGTGCCTAAAAAGAAATCAGGTTAGTTTCACACGAAAGGCTTATTGAATAAGCCGAACACACATGTCTAAAAGGTGATGCATGTCAGCGATTTAAGGTAGAAATTTAGGATATCATTAATTTTTCATGCTCTTTTCACATTTTTACTATATCCTCTGTACATTTGTTTCAGGATTCAGAATTAAGCTTTAAATAGTCCATCTTTGTTCTCTTTGTGCTGTTTTCAGGTCCTCTGTCTCACTTATTCACCTGTTCTCACTGTCCATTCACACATCGTGCAAAGACAAAGGTCCGAGAACACATCCAGAATGAGCATCGATCGGCAGGGCTGGTTCAGAAAAGGAGAGCCTTGATAAAAGCGAGAGGGAAGACTGTGCAGAAAAACCAAGACTTGAAAGTCAAAAAAATTAAACAAGAAGGCAGCTTGGAGAGGGCCAGGAGGGGCAGACATAAGGATGGCATTGGCAACAAGCTGGAATGTAAGCAGAAGGACAATTCAGAAAAGAAGAAACGACGGAGACCGAAACAACCAGCTGGAGAAGACAAACGGTTTCTGACCACCCGGCTTGTGAACAAAAACTTTACAGAAAATGAAACAAAATGCACGACCTGTGAGAAGGTCTTTAAGCATCCTAATCAGCTAAAGACCCACGCTAAGCTCCACAGCCTTCCATACAGCTGCAGCCACTGTGAGAAGGGCTTCACCAGCCAGTCGGGGTATTATCAGCACCTGAGGCTTCACTCCAGAGGACGAGCCTTCGTCTGCAAACGCTGCAACAAGGGCTTCCTCTCTACTTATTCGCTCAAGCAGCATGAACGTCTGCATGAGGGCCCTACCAATTTGTGCAGCATTTGTGGGAAAAACTTCAGCAAGAATGGCATCATAAGACACATGCAGATGCACCGAGGGGAGAGGAATTACCTGTGCACCACCTGTGGAAAGTCCTTTTTGTCCTCGGGGGAGCTGCTGCTGCACACCAGGTCTCACACAGGCGAGATGCCCTACACATGCGCCCACTGTGGGAAGGGCTTTTCCTGCAAGAGTCACCTGAACGTGCACACGCGTTCCCACACAGGAGAGCGCCCCTATCTCTGCTCAGAGTGCCCCAAACGCTTCCTCACCCTGAACTGTCTGAAGAGGCACACGCTCAGCCACAATGGCCTGAAGCCCTTCAAGTGTTCGGACTGTGCCAGAGAGTTTTCCCAGCAGGGGAACCTGAAAAGACACATGGCAACTCATAAACCCAGCACGTAACCTTCTCTCCTCGAGGCTTTGAAACTTTGGAGAAAGATTTGGTCACAAAATTTGAGTTAATTGAAAGTCAAACTTTTTATGTCATTTTTAAATTCCTTGGAAACTTGCTCCTATCTCTTGATAAGGTGATTTCATTCTGATTAAAGGCTTTGTAGCAGGAAAACTTAATTTCTCAGATATATTCATTCCGTAATGATGATAGTGTTTCTGAGCAGGTCAGAGAGTTTTAAAAGGTGTAAACATTGCATGACACATGCTTCAAACTATT